TGTAGCCCGATACTTGGCCAAACTCGGCTTGAAGTCTCATGCGACCATCGGCACGTACCTCAAGGATGACGCGAGCATCAAAGATGTGATCACGAAGCTTAAGGCGGGCGCCAAGGCGGGGGGCGTGGAGTTCAAGCTCGGAGATGACACCGACGAAGACGCCCTCACCGCCCAGTGGATGGTACTCACTCAGTCTGCACGACTCGCTTACCATGCTGCTACAACAACTCCGACACCTTCAGCTTCCCCGACCTTGCCGACCACTACTACTTCGTCCCACACCGACAAAGACGTCGTCCCCAAGACTCTCCCGACGGGTGTCTACAACAAACTGGTCGAGGATTACAATAGCATCACCGTGGACGGCGAACGACGACAGTTCCCCGAGAAGAATCTAGTCGGGGCGGAGAAAGTACTCGCTCGGATGTATCACGAGCACCATACATCGAAGATGTACACCGCCACAGCACTTGGCGAGATAGTGTCACAAAGGATCTGGACTAGCTTCGACACGATCAACTCGGCCAGGAAGAAGGATACGCACGAGAAGAAACTGGTCCTCGACGAACGCAATAACATCACCGAGAAGTCACACGATGAGTGGGATGTGCGAGGACAATGGATGCTTATAGACGCGATTGAGGCAATCCGATGGGCCTGGATCCTCATTAAGTATGCCTCCGAGACGGTCGTCAACAAATACGTCGATTGGTTCATTCGTCTCGTACGCAAACATTCACAACGCATTAACAACGTGAAAAGCCTTTGGGAAGAATTCTCTTGGGACATCGCCATGCGCATGCGATCTAACGAGACCTTCCAAGCGATCACCGACGACCTCATCAACGACCTCACCAGAGTCAACGACGTTATACAACAACCGCTGTCGAAGAAGCAGCGATTCGGCAAAGGCGCCGAACAAACCCCGAAAGGGAAAGGAAAAGGATATCAGCAGAAGTGGTCACCTCCAGGACAAGGACGGCGATATCGACAACCCTGGTCCAATCCGACCACACAATGGCGCTCATGGCAACCTTCGACACCTACGTGGACTACACAGGCCATGTCTTCTTGGCAAACCACCCCGACACAAGCATGGACATCTCCTACGACGCCGACTTTCTTTACTCCGACACCATCACCGACCCTGCCACTGAACCCGGCTCCTCATGTATCTCAAACACGACCTCCTTGGAACGCGAAGGGAGACAAAGGCTCGAAAGGCGCCGGCAAGAAGGGCAAAGCCGGTAAGTCCGGCAAGAAATAGGGACAGCACGGCCCAGGGTCTGCCGACCCTGGAGCCGACCATCGACCGACAGAGTTACACGACCGAACTTGTACATTGTGCTACGAGCTGGTCGGCACCTTACCGGTGGTGCACCTGTCCTTCTTCGATGGTATCGGGATTGCCTCCGAAGCACTACGACGAATCAATGGGCACATCCTCCTGACCCTTTCTTGGGAGATCGACCTCGAATGTGCACAGTTTACCTCACAACACTTCGGATCCATACAAATGGGGGACGTGACACAGTTCGACATCGAGTCCGTCGCGGAGCACATCGATGCTGCTACTCTCCATCAACAATACATAATGGTGATAACCGCTGGACCACCTTGCCCCGATTTTTCGAACTTGCGTCACCGACCCCCAGGCTCCGAGGGCACATCGGGTTGGCTTTTCAGTCACATGGTGGGCATCGAACACCAACTCCGGAAACGCTTCACTGGCATCGCCATTGAAACGATCTTCGAGAACGTGGTCCCTCACCCGGATGTTCACGACAACTTGCTTGAGCTCACATCGCCACTGAGTATGGACCCCATAGTCGTCGATGCAGCCGACGCCGGAATCATGCACCGGAAGCGGCTGTGGTGGACATCGATCCCTTGGAACATCATCGAAGAACGCCTTCCACGACTCACACCTTGGTCCTTGGACTGGAAACTCGAAGGAAAATGGCACCGACTCCACAACCCGATCGCTAAGGAACTGCAGACACACATCAAGACGAAGGACTACTCCCTTCCCCCATGCCTCCATAGCGACAAGAAACTTTTCCATTGCTTGACTACACCATCAACATCGACTACGGGCCGAGATCCGCCTACACATCTCCGAGATCGCTCGACTTCACATGACGCGTGGCAACGATGGGAACAGGACAATCGTCAATACCCTGTGTGGCAGTACGAGGAGCAGTTCTTGGTGACACTACCCGATGGCACATGGTCTACCGCACCCGCCACACTTCGAGAACAACTTCAGGGTCTACCGCTGGACTACACCGCCACACTCGCCCAGGGCAACGAAACCAAACGATGCGTTGCTTTAGGCAACTCTTGGCATCTTCCCACGGCAGTTTGGATCATGTTCCTGCTGCTTCTCGGGACCGTCAACGCGACCATCCCCGACACACCACGATCTTCGGCTCTCCAACAGATTACTGCCTTGTGGCTACACCACAAAGTCCCTTTCGGTCCTCCTCCACGTTCCACGACACACAACTACATGTCTCAGTTTTTTTGGACAGAACACCTCGATTGGGCACTTCATCGCGATACACACTTGGCCCCGAAGCCGCTGGATCCTACCCTCGAGTGGTGCTTACAACATCGACATGTGTTTCACCCACTCGTAGATTTCCAGAAAGCGATCATCGCCGACATCCGCGAGCTCGTCGAAGACATGGAGGATCACACCATGGCCTGGTATCACACACTCCCAGAACACGTACAACGAGCATATCGACACAAGGATTCAGTCACACAGATCCCAGTACTCGTTCACTTACTACGACTGATCCAATACCCACAAACAGAGCTGATATATCGCGAACTCTCCGAAGGTTTCCCCTTGATGGGCAAGTTGACCCCAGGCATCAACTGGCACGTTCGACAGGACCTTAAATATCTCGAACCCACACCGATCGACGAGTTTGGTGACAAGAACCGACAGTACATCCACGACAAGATCGAGAAGAATTCCGTCGACGAACATTGGGAACTGATGCTGGATGAAATCCTGGCCGAAGTCGACATGGGACGCATGAACGGACCGTATCAAGCCCCCGACTGGTGGCCCCGTGCTGCCACGGTACCACCAAAAGGGAAACATCGAGCCCTGTTACCACTACCACACTCCGATCCCTACATCGCCATGGCTTTCAGCATCGAACAGACCGGCAGCGACGGCAACAACAAAGTCCGACGAGGCGAGGATTGGCGCCGGAGTGGCCACAATGCGACCTGCACCATGCACGACCAACCGTACCATCACACACCCGACCACTTTATTTCCTTGGGACTCGCTACACTCCGAACCGATCACTCGAAACCCTTGTCTGTTTGGGGACATGACCACGACGGGGCTTATCGCCAACTTCCACTTCGTGATCCTCGAGAAGCCTATGTGATGTTGTTGACCCCGGACGGCCCAACGCTGTGGAGCCACAATGTCCTTCTTTTCGGATCGGCCGCAAGTGTCTGGTCTTACAATCGATTCGGCGACATTCTCGTGGCCTGCAGCCGAACGATGATCTTGTCTCCGGCCATGCACTACGTCGACGACTACGGATCCATGGAAGACTCCGACCTCGCCAAAGGCAGCTTCGAGTCCTTCGAGGAGTACAACGGATGTCTCCAGATATCGATGAAGCCCAGTAAACGTCAACCACCGCAAACAGCACATCGTATACAAGGAGTCATCATTTCATCCGACGACAACAACTTGGTCCTCACACCTTGTCCAAAGAGAGTCGAAAACATGTGTAGACATATCGACACACACCTGACTACTTCGTCACTGTCCCCCGAGCAAGCCAGGAAGATGGCCGGGAAGTGCAACTTCCTGACTGGGAGACTATTTGGCAAGGTGGGTCGAGCGGCCCTGAAGGCACTTTATTCTCGAGCTCACTCCTATTCACATGCCCTCGACAAGCCCACCCGCTCATCACTACTCGCCCTCAAGGACATCATACAGCACTGCCGACCAATGACGATACCACGCACACCGACCAAGCCGACATACAGCGTCATCTATACGGACGCATACTTCCGGCTTGGCTCCACCATCTACAAGCCGGGAGACAGCGACATCCCTAATTGGGACTCAAAGTCGACGTCCGACATCGAAAACGGCTGGGCGGCGGTTTGCTTCCACCACGGTGACGTGCGAACCGCCGCCTACTTCCAGGGTCGTCTTCCTTCACTACTTGTTCGACAGTTTGCCTCCGACCAGGCCTTCATCTACCTTCTCGAAGCATGGGTAGCGATACTAGCACCGTTGGTCTTCGAACCGTGGCTGGATCAGTTCTACGTTCAATGCTGTGACAACGAAGCCTCCCGACACGCCCTACTCAAGGGCGTCGGCAAACACCAACCTTTGAATTGCCTCATTGCGGCACATTGGACTTGGCACAATCGACGCAGTATTGCACATCGACTTGAGCGAGTACCCACCAAGGCGAACATCTCCGACGGGATCAGCCGCTTTGAGAACGTTCCGGAGTCTGAGAGCTGGACTAAACTCGATTTACCTCTTAATGCACTGACGAGTAGAGCTGCGAAGATCATAGGAGATATCCATTTTGCTTCCTCGACGGGTTTTTCCGACTTACCCGAAATTCACCGATTGCACGACCATTTGCTTTCGATGTTACGCTAATGTTCTTTCGAGTGGCGTTCGCCTGCGATGGGAGGACGCGACCACACTCGATGGGAACCAGTCGGTCCTCCCAGCGGAAGGAAAGATCAACACCGATCTGTAAGATCGACTACTTCGATCTGTAAGATCGAAGCGCAGACTTAACGCCACCGAAGCGGAAGCAGTTGGAAAACACCTCCGCTGAAGCCAGGGATTCATGGCCTTTGTGTGAGAATTTCGTTGTCATATATATATATATATATAAGTACATATATATATATATACACTACATATTTATACATACACATATAGGACCCTGCAAGTTCCTGCGTTCGGGCTCTCTACCATCTGCGAGGCGTGCGAGCTTCGCTTTTCTGCGACGAGCACAACGGCCCGGTGCTGAAGCGGCTGTGCGATAACTGCGATAGGGTTTTGGGGGTATGTCACAGTACCTGTAGTCTCCATTGTACTTCCTATTTTTGGGGTTACCTCTTAAAGGATCCTAACTATATAATTGGTTAAGCCAAAAAAATCAACTACAATGGAGACTCCAGGTGTACCCAGGGGTTGTTCTGGTTATCACCAATCATAGCCAGGGCCGGGATGTCGATGAAGTTGGGGCTTTAAGATTTCGGGGCTTAGGGCTGGCGCTTTAAGGTTTAAGATCTGGCTAGACTTGAGTCTTGTAGCAAAAAGGGGTTTAAGTTTCGCAGGTTGGGGCTTCCAAGGGATCTCTAAGTGTGCCCTTGAGGGATCTACAGGGGTTGTGGGAAGAAATAGAGGAGTCTTACGGCGTCGGTTTTCGGGGTCTGAGGCTGAGAAGATCTGGCCTTCTGACTTATTGCTACTTGAAGGCTCATGGGACTTAGTAAGCAAGGTTATAAGTAGGTTATAATTAGGGTAGCCCCACTTAGGGGACTTATAACCCCACTTATAACCTACTTACTAAGTCCCATGATCCTTTAAGTAGCCCTAAACTACCCCTTATAGACCCCCCTATATAGATCCCTTAAAGGAGCCTTTTAAAGGAACCAAAAAGGGCACCCTAGGTTACTCTTGGGTCTAGTAGGGATGTTGGAGTTCCAGAGTGGGCCCAGGAAAGCCTACGATTCGATGATGGCGCACTACGCCGACTTCGACGCAGGTGCACGGATTCCTGCAGCCAATGCTATATAGGGGCTTATAATTACCTATACACGTGTGGTGGCCCCTTATTATAATTATAGTATGAGGGGCCCCGAAACGGTATTTTAATTATCAAGGCCCCTATATTTGTCGAAGCCAGCATTTTCAGTAAGACAGCTGGAAGCTTGATGTCCTTGGCAAGCAATATCCCTCCAATGTCGGGTATTCTCTCTGCAGGGGTCGAGATCGACAGCGACCATGTTTCTTAAGGACAGCATTGGGGCTTCTTAAAATGAGGTGTATATTAAGTGACGGATACTGGTAACTGGTCACACTAAACTCTAAACCCTAAACCCAAAGTCCCAGTTCGCGCATCGGTGTTCTTTGAAGGGTTTTCGGTTTCCTGAATCCGGAAGCTTTGACCTTGAACCCCCATCCCCTAACGCTCTATAGTTCCCTTTTTGGGGTTCATATATAGAACCCTATAAGGTAATCCCAAAAAGGAACTACTATGGAGCCTCTGGGAAGACCCTAGACCCGGATCCGAACCTACTTGCAGGATCATTGGACTTAGTATGTAAGCTTATAAGTGCCTTAATTGGGGTTATAAGTAGTTATAAGTATAGTTACCTTAATTATAACCCTAGTTACTAAGTCCCATGACCCTTTAAGTATGGTAGAAGCCAGAAAGTGGGAACATGGCTTTAGCAGGATTCGCGCTCGGATCCTTTCTAATTTACCTTGAGGGCATGAGGAGAATGATGTTCCAACTTTCTGGCTTCTACTATAGACTCTATAATCGAGCCCAGGGATTGCTATTGATGATAGAAATCCTGCATTACCTTAAGGGCCCTAAACTATGGGAATTATGGTATATTCCTTATTACGGGTCATGCAGGATTTATATCATCAACCTAAACCCTAAACCCTTAACCCTAAACCCTAAACCCTTAAACCCTTAAACCCTAAACCCTTAAACCCTATTAGAAGGTCTTGGAGTGTTGGGTGGGCCTCTCGGCTCGGGGCACTTCAGCCCACAAAAACCCGACTCCGATGCGATGGGTAAATGGGGTTTCCGAAAATTAGGGGTGCCTTTAAAGGGTTACTATAAGGGTACTATAATGGTTTCTTTAAAGGGCTCTATAGGGGTTTAGAGTTTCCGAAAATTAGGGGGGTACCTTATTCTGGGGTCCTTATAATAAGGATCCTACTATTTGGGGTACTATATTCGGGTCCCCTTTTTTTCGGAAACTCCCAAATGTTGTCGATGGGAGAGGGCCGCCAGAAGATTTGATCGGAAGCCGCTTGGTGCTTAGGTTTCAACGTTTCGTTGCCAGTCCAAGGGCAAAAGGAGGGACCCTTAATAAGGACCCCTAGGTATATACCCTTAATATACCCATAATATACCCATTATATAGCCCATTATAGGGTAGGGGTCCCCATTAAGGGTCCCTCCTTTTCCCCTTTGAGTCAGAGCCTTAGGTTTGGAGCTGCAGGTGACTTAGGCTTGATGCAGGTCTTGAGCAGGTTTGGGGTTTACCTGGACCCTGTAAAACCTGCTTCTTTAGGGATCCTTATTAAGATTTCAGCAAAAAAGTCCTTTAAAAGTTTTTTTATTTCAGGTTAAGGTAGGGCTTGGGTGTAGGCTTCAGGATGGAAATTCGGATCTCTCCGCCATGTCTTCTGCGTAGGCAGACTCTGCTTGTTTTGGGGAATAGATCTGGCCTCGCTTTCTTGTGCTTGATAAGTCAGGAAACCTGCTGGTAGCCAGCTCGCGAGCGTCTCTGGGATGCACAGCTTGGGCTGTGGAGAGCTCGCTGAAGCATGGTGACGGTCCACCCGACCACGAAGCGTCAGCGGAAGAGTGAGCACGAGGCCTTCACTCTTGGAGCCGTGGTGCCGTGGTGTTGGGTGACGTGCATCCCGCGACTTACAAAGGTGTCTGACTCGAGGATCGATCTGTCTGGGCCAAGGCGTTGCAACTGGAGGAGAAGCTCAGCATCCTGTAAGAAACTTGTAGTGAGCAAGTGGCGCGCAGTGCGAAGTTGAAGACTTACTGGCTCACGAAGCGCATGTTCGTTACTGTTTAGTTTAATCGTATCGCAAAGAGTGTCCCGCAGCGACCCAGCCATGTGTAAGCACACAGCGGCATACAGTAGTGGGACACCGACGGCAACCCGCCCCGCTTGGGCCCTACACACCCGAAACTTATGGAAGCCTTGGAGGAACCCTCATACATCGCTTCATGGAAACCATTATAGATCCTGTTATATCAAAGAACCGTTACAGGCTCCTTTCGTTTTTTAACGGAACCCTTATAGATTGTAGATCTCTTTAAAGGAAGCACCCTGTCATCGGAACCCCAAACCCTTTTTGATGTGCTCTGGAGACAGTACAGATCTCTTTAGATCCTGTGAGCCTTCATACCTTATGTAGTTGATCCACAAGTGATTCGCTTCTGGATTGTCGCAAGACTGCCTGCATAAACCCTCCGCCAGAAACGCACGAATTGCTGCAGAAGTTCAGCTGCTGCCTTCCCGCCATCGGGGACGTCCGTGGTTTAGGGTTTAGGGTTTCCGTGGTGGGCTGAACGTACCTTTGGTTAGTAGGGAATGGAAGAATGGTAGAAATAGTAGTTACAACTGTACCCTATTCCTCCATTCCCTACTAACCAAAGGTAAGTGAAGGGTTTGGGGTTTTGGGGTTTTGGGATCAGGGCTTCGGCGTTAAGGGTTGGGCTTTTGCTTAGGGTTTAAGGTTTGGGGTTTAGGACTTAGGTTTTGGAGTTTGGGCTTGAGGGCTCAGGGTTCAGATATGTGAATTGCTTTGAACCCAGCCTCCCGCAACATGAGCCACTGAAGAAGCGATCGACGGCCTGTGGGTCAAGATCATTGGGCTTGGGGGTTTTGTAGCATGCTACGTTTCTTGTGCATGTCTTAGCTCCCCCACGAAGGTTCTACTTCCGAAATTAGGGGACCCTAATATGGTACCATAAATAGTAGGATCCTTATTATAAGGACCCCAAAGTAAGGTACCCCTATAGCTGAGTGTCCGGCTTTTGATGTGGGGAGCCAGGGCTGAGCGTTCAGTGGATTTATGCTGAATACTCAGCTTGGGGCTTGGAATAATTGGTACTTGCTATCCCCTTATTAACGTCCCAAATGTAAGTAGAATATGGTATACGCCACGCCCCTTTTAGCATCATGAAGGTAGTATATGTACTTCTGCGGTTTTTTTCCGCAGCCCTAGAGGCCGAAACTCTCTCATCCGGCTGCAATGGAGGACTCCCCGGCGGGCGCGACTGCTGCCATGCTGGAGATGTATCGCGAGAAGGCATAGGGCCTTGAACCCTAAAACCTGAGCCCTACCTGGACCCTTACAAACCTTTACGTTACGTTGTTAGGGTTCCACAATGTGATTTCCTTGTAAGAAGCCATAAAGAGGTAGGCTATTTTGGATTAAAGTAAACCCTAAACCCCAAGACCTTATACCCTAAACCCTAAACCCTAAACCCCAAAACCTTATACCCTAAACCCGATGGTACTAGGCTACACCGGGCTTTTAGTTCAGCACCGTCGCTTGCGACAGAAAGCATTGGTAGACCCGCGGCAGTGGTAACGATAAAGTCCAGCCCCGAACTTCAGATTCCTTTCTTAGGTTCAGTGTTAACGGTTCACGCCCCTGGTTAACTGCTGACAAGCATAGATTGCTAAATTTCAATATTCAGGTCATAAAAAAATCTGCTGAAATAAAGCTTCTTGCGAAGGTTGCTTGTGTACGAGGTGCCTGGTTGGACAGTGCTGACGTCTAAAGGCAATCATCCATGTTGAGTCCTTTCGCGGGTAGGAGCTCTGTCCCAGATCTATCATAAACCTCTGCTTGGAATACCCGGTGATGCTTTCTTGCTACTATTTAGCATCCCGACTTGTGCTTGGTTTTTCCTACGCAGTCCCTTGCCACATTCCTTCTGACTTCATTGTGTGTCAAGAAAAAAGGACTTGAAACAGAAAAAAGCTCGCCTTTGTTTTTATATACAGCTGAATGCCGGACCGTAGTCCTTTGCCTTAAGCTTTACACGTTTTGTCTTGCCTGCAAGATAAGGAGAAATCTTCTCTGCAGAGGAACATAGCGGAATCAAAACTATGCTTCAGCAGAAAACTCGTCATTCTATGTACAACATACATTTTATCGGCAGACATTTCCTGAGGCAGAATTTTGTGAAAGCAACAGTTTGTTGTCTGATAGAAAGGATCTTTTTGTTTATACGAAAGAGTTGTCACGGTAAATGTTATTGTTAAATCTACATAAAACTATTGAAATCTTTACTTTGGCAGATTTTACATAGTCTTTCTAACTTACCTTAGCAGCCTTTTTTAAATAATGTTCATGTTTTTCTGATATTTCTTATTACAGCAGTGCCAGCAATTCATTTTATAAGGGAAAGTTTTTTTTGCTGCGCATTTACTTTGGCAGTTATTTTAAATACTTTTTATTTTTTTTTCTAAAATCTGTATTTCAACAGATCAGTTTATAACAGCATTTTTGTTTTTTTTAAAGTATTTCAGCAGATTTTTAAAACACAATATTTTTGCATATTTTTTTGCACAGACCTTTATTTCGGCAAAAAACTTTAATTTCAGAGGATTTTTTTACAAAAAAAATCATCTGGAATTAAGGCCTTTTTGGAAAAATTCACATTCTAAATCTTGATGCAGAAAACCTGCAAAACCTGAATTTGTATCAGAAAATAGAGTGCTGATTCGCTATCTGCACTGGAGATTCTGAATGAATTTCAGGTGTTTTGGGGTTTTTGGCACCGTGTTTAGAGTGTGAATTTTTCAAAAAGGCCTTTATTTCATTGGACTTTTTTTATAAAAAAATCATCTGAAATTAAAGTTTTTTTGCTGAAATAAAGGTCTGTGCAGAAAAAATAAAAAAATATAAACAAAATCTGCTGAAATAAAGACTTTGAAACAAACATTTTAAACAAAAAAATGCTGGAATGAAGAATTTGGGAAAAAATGAAAAAAGTTATTAAAAAATCTGCTGAAATAAAGGTTTTGAAAAAAATAAGAAAGATTTTTTCATTAAAACAATTATACAAAAAAAAGCTGCTGAAATACAGATTTTGATTTTTGTTGATAAAAAAATGCTGAAATAAAGATTTTGAAAAAATAAAGCAGTTCTTTTTTTTAAAACAAAATTTGCTGAAATAAAGATTTTGAAACAAAGAATCAAAAATGTTTTTTGTAAAAAAATCTGCTGGAATGAAAAATTTGGGGAACAAATTATTCAAAAAGTCTGCTGAAATAAAGATTTTGAAAAAAATAAAAGAAATATTTGTTGTTCATAAAAAAATCTGCTGGAATGCAGAATGTGAAAAAAATTATATAAAAAATCTGCTGAAATAAAGACTTTGAAAAATAAGAAAGTTTTTTTAAATACAAATCTGCTGAAAAAGCCTACTGTGAAACAGTGGTGCTGACACACAGACACCAGACGCCTCTGCATAGCAGAGTTAGCAGAGGAACACTACTCCTGAAATGGAGGACCCGGTCGTCGACCAAAATGCGAGCGACGAGAGAAAAGTCTTCCGAAGCGCACATATGCTTGATTGGTTTCTTTTTCAGCTAGCAGCCATTGCCAACACCTTTATTCCAGTAGATTTTTTTTTACCACCCTCTAAAGGCAGTAATATTGAAATTTAACAGCATAGATGATAAGATAGCGGCCCGACTTAGCCGATGCCGTGAACCTCAGGTAGCACAGAACTGGGCCACCAGGAATTTGGAATCCAGGCCATGACATTGACCCCGGTGGCGCCCCTGGTGTTTAGCAGAACCCCCCCCCTCAACGCATAGGCAATATGCTGTCGATCCTAAATACTACAAAATTCGGAACAAGTTGCCATAGTGTCCCCTGAGAGGCACGACATTACTATGTGATAGTGTACCTCGTCTTAGCCCCATTCCAACTCCTCAGGCCTTACACTAACCGTCAGCACACCCGTAGCTGCAGCGGCGCTCCTGACTATCAGTAAGAATAAGAAGGAATACTATTAAATTGTTTGTAGTAAGAATATGAATGATTACTATTCGTACCATTACGATTGTTTCTGTCATTATTGTCATTAGTTTGGTTGTTGTTACATGTGAGGCCTATGGCGGTGGCTCTTGTACCGCACTACAGGCCCAGCCCGGTGCAGTACTTGGGTTTAAGCTTCAGGGGTGTTTGAGCGTGAGTACTTGTAGGTTGATTGAGTTCAATCATCGTAGCTTCGGATTTTCAGATCGAGGGCAACAGGGTGTTGGATGTTAACCCAAGGCCTGAAGCCCACATTTCTCCAGCCAACTCAACGATGAAAGCTTCAAGCCATGGAAACCGCCAAGCTCTGTGACCTCAGCCTTCCAACACCCGACCGTGACGTAGGTAGAATCTAGGGTCTCAGCAGCAAGAGCAATGGTAGCCGCACAGCAACGGCAGCAACACAAATGAGAACAATCCTACCTATACTATGTAGTTGCAAGCTGCAGCAGTTAATCACGACCACAGCTACAGAGCGTAACATATCACAACGATTTACTGACGACCGAAGTAGCCATAATGCAATCCAGGCGACCACCACCACAAACACTAAACCCTGAAACCCTTAAACATTCGAACCCTAAGCCCGAAGCTCTAAACCCTAAGAAGGACCGCTGGACCTTGCTTGCCCATCGCCTCGGCGATGTGCTCGAGACCGAAGTGGACGCGCTCGTGGCTCTGGAGATCGTGGGTTCAGGGCTTTTTCGGCAGAGGGGTTTGGTTTTAGTGTTCAGGGTGGAAGGGTTTACGGTTTAGGGTTTGGGGTAGAATGGTTTAGGATTTAGGAGATTGTTTAGGGTTCAGGATTCAGAGGTTGGGCATGTTTGTAATCACGTTTCTATATTTACGTCCGTTGATGTATGTTGATGCGTGTGTGTATGCATCACACAAGGTCCAAGAGTGACAGGAAATGTGCCATGCATAGGTTTACATGGTTGTAACTGGTGGTGTCATGATGGTTAGTGTTGTAGTCTGTACCTTTTACACTAGTACTTTTACCACCAGTAGAGCTGCTCCTGCCAATGCCGCCATTGCTGGCAACTATACTGCTGCTAGCATTAACATAATGAGCAGTACTGCGGTTCGTGCACGAGTTCCCATATAAACATTCTAGCATGGTCGTGGTAGTTGTTGCTGTGGTTGCTGCTGCTGTAGCTGCTGCTCGTTTTGCTGTTGTCGGTGTTGTTCTGGCGGTTGCGGAGATTTTGCGGCTGCTGCTTGTATTTTCTGTTGTGGGTGCTGGATCCTAAACCCTGCGCCCCTGCTGCAACACTGTTGCACGCCTTATACATAGACTTTAATGACCTGTGTAGCGTTTCAGCATCATAAGCTGGAGGCTTCGGGGGAGGTTTAGCGGCTTTGGTAGTAATTTCTTGGAGGTCAGCCTAAACTCCTTAACCCCTAAAGCCCAAATCACCCACGCCCTGAATCTTCAGTTTGAAATCCGAGTCCCCAAGCCCTAGGCCCTGTATATTAGCTTAATACTGCCCCCAAAAAACCTTTTCTGACAATTGAGGCCCCCATATTATGTCCTTAGGAACAATATAGGGGCCTTAATAATTACCTATACGATTTTGGGCATTCCTTCATATGGGTGGTTGTCAGAAGTATGGTCCTTTTTTGGGTCCCTAAATATTCGGTGCCGTACTATTTTAGGGACCCAACAAGGGACCATAATCTTGACAACCACCCATATGATTATAGTATAATGGGCCCCCAAACCCTGTTCTAATCATTAAGGCCCCTTTTTTCCGAGCCCTTACGACCAGGCCTGAAGCCTCGAACCCGACGTCCAAAACCAGGAGCGGTTGGGCGCACCGTACCGCAACATCAGAGGTGTCGACATAGGCGCCCTTCGAGTCATCTGTGCTCTGGGGAGTTGAGAGCCCATGGTGACGGTGACGACTAAAGTGATGATGACAGTGATGAAGACGATTACGAGGAACGGTGAAGGAGATGTTTGCTGTATTGCTTTTGCATGTGCATTCGCGCCACGGCGATCCGATACTGATGCTTCTCAGATTCGCTTGCTATGTGGCTGACAAGTGCTGGCGTTGATGACTAGGATGATGATGGGGATAGTGCTGATTAGGAGCGTGGTGTCGCGGATAAACAACCGACTTGACAGGATGCTGGAGAAGAGGAAGAAGACTTGGGCGGTGAAATGCCGAATATAGCTGGTCATGATGAGGATGCCATGCGGATGAATGTGTTGATGTTGTCTTCTTCAATGACTGGGGTGCATGGTGGAAAATGGTGGTGGGGGTGTTCACGATGCTGAATAAGAAAAGATGACGGTGAGGATGTTGATGATGATGATGATGATGATGATGATGATGACGCTGTCCATGAAGATGATGACCAAAGTGATGCTGCTGTTGGTGAAATGGATGTTGTTGTTGATGATGATAATCATGGTGATGATGACGACGAGGCCTACTCGCACTGGTAATAAGAATGTTAGAATGGGTGACAATGTTGCTGTTGGTGAGGATGGTGATGACGATGACGATGGTGATGATGTTGAAGAAGGCGATCACGATGCTGACGGTGATCATGATGCTCATTATGAAGGATAAGAAGATGAATGCGAACACTAAGATGAACACGATGATGAGAGCGTTGATGGTGAATGTTATGATCGTGATGGTTGGTGATGATGGTGATGGTGACGACGACCTTGATGATGCTGATGATGTTGAGACGATGATGATGGTGATGATGCAGCTGATAGCAAAAATGAGACCAGCACGATGTCTCTGATACCGGCGACGGGAACGAATACGATGATGAAGCAGAAGAGAAGGAGGCACAGGAGGAGGAGCAGGAGGAGGAGGAGGAGGAGGAGGAGGAGGAGCAGGAGGAGGAGGAGGGGCAGGAGGAAGAGGAGGAGGAGGAGGAGGAAAAGGAGAAGGATTATAACCAATGCAGGGCAGCGATGAAGATGATTGTTTATGATGTTGACGATGGGATTTGCCATCAAGGCAATGAAAGTTGGCACTGACCATCAAGAACAAGCAGCGTCTGATTACCTTCTTCGTGGGAGCAACAAAGATGGATGTGACACGGCAGGTGGCTGGTGCTGATGATGGTGATGCCGATATTGATGAACCGTGATGGCGAAGGACATCACCACGGCGACGAAGATGATGATGGTGATGGTGATGACTAACATGATACATGACGATAGTTCCCAAACTTTCCATGGCTTAGGCACGAGGCATTCCTTCAAAGGGCGTGGAATTGTAGGGACTGAAACTCCCCTCTGAAGCGCCCCACTGAGTTGTAACTCTGTTAGAATTTAACCTAGGCCGCATCAGTCTTTGGATCCAATGCCCGTACTTAAAGGATCATGGGACTTGTTTAACTAGGGTTATAATTAGGGTAACTATACTTATAACTACTTATAACCCCAATTAAGGTACTTATAAGCTTACTTGCTAAGTCCCATGATCCTCCAAGTACTCCTTGGGTATTCAACCGAAGCCCGACACCCTACCGCTTAACCATAAGCCCTAAACCTAGGCGGCTTGAAGCCTACTTGCCGAAATCGTTTGGGCTTGCCCTATACCGTAAACCCTAAAGACCCTTTTGGTATTGGGTAACTTTATAAGGACCCTAGGACGACAAAAAGGGGATAAGAGTACTACTGGGCATCCTAGCCTAATTGTCTAGGACTAACCCCCGGGTTTCGGCTTGGGTTGTTTTTCTGCACCCTAAATATTAGGTGCCGTATTATAATAAAGACCCAAAAAGGGACCCTAATATTGACTAAGTCAGGCACGGACACGGAGCCAATCGACTTCCTCTTCCCCTTTCTCGATTGGGATGGGCTCGGCGACGAGGCTCCGCCAAGTTGAACCCTGGCTTCTGAATTTTCAGGGTCCTCTAGGATGCTCTAGCATCCCTAAACCGTCAGCCCCCCCCCCCCCAAAAAAAAAAAAAAATCCGACGCCTTAAACCTTAAACCCTAAACCCTCAACCCTAAGCTCTAAACGGGAAACCTTAAAACCTAAACCTTAATCCCTAACCCCTAAACCCTAAACCCCTAAACTTGGGGGTTAGCCGTTTTGGGTCCTTCAGGGCGCTTTAGCTGCCCTCCCGATCCTTTGGGGCTCTTAAGGTGTTTGGGGTCCTTGAGAGCTCTGTAGGCTCCTTTCGTCTTCCTTTGGGTTTCTGAGGGGGCTTGGGGTTTTTCGGATCCTCTCGCATTCTGTAGGGGTTTTGGGCATTTGGTATAGGGGGCCTTAATAATTCGAGCAGGGTTTTGGTGCCCACTATGCTACAACTATAGTAATTAAGGAACCCCCCAGAACATAATTTAAGTAAGTATTTAGGTCGCCATAATAAACCTTTATAGTAACCCTTATAATAATCGTTATCGACCCCTTTAGAAGGAACCCTTGAAGAAACCATTAGGTAATTATTGTAGGGTTTCTGGTTTGGGAGTTGTGGGTCCTTCAGGGCTTACAGCTTCGGGGTCTTCGGGCTTCGAGATTGAGGCTCTGAGGGGGGTGTTCCGTCTTAGAGTTGAGGCTAGAAGCGCTTTAGGGCACAGCCTCGGGGGGTTAGGGACCCCTAGGGTTCCTTTAAAGGGATCTATAGGGGGTCCTTTAAAGGGATCTATAGGGGTTCCTTTAAAGGGGTCTATAAGGGTTTCATATGGTTTCATAGGAGGCCAAAAGGGGTTTTAGCACATGGGGGTTTAGTCGGGATTAGGGTTCCCATAATAGGGTTCATATAGGAATCCCTACCCCGAGAATCTTAAACCCCCCCTTTGGCCTCCCATCATAGGGTTTAGGGTTTGGGTTTACCAGGACAGGACCCCCCCCAACGGTTGATGATACAAATCCTGTATTACAGTGCCCATACTGAGGAATATACCAGTATTCCCATAGTTTAGGGTCTTTAAGGTAATGCAGGATTTATATCATCAGCCGAAGTACACATTAAGGGAGCCCTTATGGTCCTTAATAGTGGGGATTGAGAGTATAAAAGATGGTGGTTGGGGGGTCTAGGGAGGGTTTGGAATTCTAGAATCCCCCTAAACCTTAAGCCCTATCTGCCCTCACCCAAACTCCTCCGCCGTCTGGCAAGCCGTTGTTGTTGTTGTTGCTGTTGTTGTTGTGTTGATGTTGCTGCTTCGCTTGTGGCTCACGCGCGGAATTGGGCAGCCGGGCTGCTGAAGAAATGGCTCGACTCCCAGCCAGAGCATCAGCCAAGAGAAAGCAAGAAACCTATTAAGGATTGACGCGGCCTCGAAGGTGCCGCGCGCCTTCGAAAGGACAGTCCCGGCCAGCTACTGAAGCACCAGTAAAGCCAGTTAAATTCGATTTAGACTCGACTGCAGGCGGTGCTTCGGCCAACTCCTCTGTTGGTCGGGCACTTATGGAGTGCCAGAGACACAGAAACAAGCGACGAGGTTGCGGCCCGCCGCATTCCAGAATCAGTTTCGGAGCGGAATATTGTCTGGTGCTTAGTAGGGAATGGGGGAATGGATATCTATAGTATAATCCCCAATAGTAGTCCCCATAACCCATTCCCCCATTCCCTACTAAGAACCAGTATAGATCCCTTGTAGTAGCCTTGTAGACCCCTTTAAAGGATCCCTGAACGGACCCCTTCAGAAGGAAACCCCTTCAGAAGGAAGCCTTAAAGGAATCCATTCCCCCCTAAACCCTAAACCCTAAACCCTAAACCCTAAACCCTAAACCCTAAACCCTAAACCTGAACCAGGGAGAATCTGTTGGGGCTCAGACTTCGACCCCTCCTCGAGCCCTGCGGGGGCCTGCGCTGAACTTTGCCTTGCACCCGAAGTGCGAAGACTTAAAGGTTCAGAGCTTAAGGGGTTTAGGGGTTCAGGGTTTAGGGGTTTAGGGTTTAGGGTTCAGGGTTCATGGTTTCGGGGTTTAGGGTTCAGGGCTTAAGGTTTAGGGGTTTATGGACTTAGGGTTTCAGAGCACAGGCTGTAGCGAGCTTTTCGCCGACTTTGTTTCAGGTAGAAAGCACCTCCCAGAACCAGGGTTTAGGGTTTAGGGTTTAGGGTTTAGGGAATGTTTGGTATCTCAGGGATTCAGGGGCTACAGGCGTTTGGCTGTTTTGAATTTGGAGTGTCTGGAGGATGCGTTTTCATTGTAGGTTTTGTGTCTTAGAATATTTTGCCTGAAGGGCCCAAGGGACTTAGTAAGTAGGGCTGCAACTGTGGATATATGTGCCGTGAGTAGGGCTATCCTACTTACAACCTTGCTGGTAACCTTATTTGCTGTAACCCTCAGATCTACACCCGGAATGCCACACCCGAGCACGAAGATCTCCATTTGGAGATCCAGGAGATTCGCCATCGCGTGCGCAGCTACGCTGCGGAGAACAAGCCGCTCAGCCGAGACTGTGGCTGTAGGATATATTTGTGGTATAGGAGCTTTCACTAGAGTGTAAGACTTCGAGTACGGGGCCTAGGATTGAGAGCCCAACCCTCCCAAACCCCATGTCCTAAACCTGGACCCCTGAGCCCTAAACCCTACATGAACACGACAGCCCTTCACCCTAAACCCTAAACCTCTAAGCTCCTAAACTCCAAAGCCCGTAACCCTCAATCTCCCCCGAAGCCACCAAGTCCTGACCTCAATCTATGGGCCTTTACTAAATAATTAACTCGCAATATTAATTTGTCCTTAGGTTCTAGGTTCAAGGTTTGCTGTCAAACTTATGGTATAGTACTGTCAACCAAAACTCTGTTCTAACTACTAAGGCTCCGATATTACAGAGCCTTATTATCAATCCCTTGTAGAGCCCTTTAAAGGAAGCCTGTTCTAATTATTCAGGCCCTGGGCGGTTTACAGCGGAAAGATCCAGCCCTACCTGTACCTTAACCTCAAATAACCTACCCTTTTAGGGACTTATATACTGGGCTTTGCAGTACCATACTTTATTACTTTTTTCTTAAAGCGCCATCATGAAACAACAGCTTCTGCTTCTTTTTCTCCCTGGTTACTTAAAGCCCAGTATAAAGAAATCAAGAAAGGATCCCTAAGCAGGTAGGTTTTGACAGGGTCCCTGCAACTCCGGAAGCTTCGCGCTTAGGTTTCAGGTGGGAGGTCATGGCCGTAGGGTTTATAGGGTTTAGGGTTTCGGGTTTATAGGGTTTATAGGGTTTAGGGCTTCAGGTTTATAGGTTTGGGGTTTAGGGTGTCATGGCAATGCGCAGATTCGGAAAGCCCGTCAGAACAGTAAATCATATCTAAACACTCGTCTGCCCAAGGCGCGGGGCCCGCTTTTCTCTTTTAAGGATTTCTTGCCCCTCGCTCCCAACAAAGACGCTAGGACCTTACACGCTACAGTAGCCTTAGAAGATCTTAGAAGCCTTTATAGTATCCCTTTGCAGTATCCCTGAATAGTATATCCCCTAGAACCCAGACGCCCTAAAGCCGAAAAAGGTACAAACCCGACGTCTGGGAGAAGCTCTGCCGGATCGCCAAAGTGAACCCCAAAGCTGTGTCGCGCCGGCCTCAGCGAGGAAGGCGCCTTAGTGGCTTAGGTTTAGGGTTTAGGGTTTAGGGTGGATTGAAAGGGATCTATATGGGTTCCTCGGGTTTTATCAACGGGTTGTGGGGGCTTGAGAGGTTGAGGGGTTGAGGGGTTTGGGTTTTCAGTTGGCCTGGGCTGTTGTTTCACCCTTTGTGTTTTTTTCTTTGACGTGTCTCGTCCCACCCTAAACCCTAAACCCTAAATCCTAAATCCTAAACCCTAAACCTAAACCCTAAACCCTAAATCCTAAACCCGACCCCACCTCGCGGTGCCGCTGCACTTCTCGCCGGGACCGGACGGGGGCTGCATTAGGGGGTACCTTGTTTTGGGGTCCCTGTTTAAAAGGATAGTAGTCGTAGTAGTAGTAGTAGTAGTAGTAGTGGTGGTGGTGGTGGTGGTGGTGGTGGTGGTAGTAGTAGTAGGATCCTACTATTTGAGGTACTATAGTAGGATCCCCGAAGTTCGGAAAGCCCCCCCCATTTTGTGCGATTCTGGCCTTCCTGGGGCTGTACAAGGCCGGAAGAATGCCCTGCCCACGGACGGCAGAGAGCGCGACGAAAGGCTTTCGCTAGAGCAGAAGGCTGCAGCGGCCTAGCCGATTTCAGCAACATTGCAAGTTCTCATCTTGAGCCATCTTGAGCCACATCTAGTTCCTGGTGAGTAATTAATCAGCGTGCAATTATTGTGTCTGGCATGGGAGGATGGGTTTCAAAAGTGTCCGGCCTTCTTAGTTTCCTCTGTCATGACATGTTTCAGCTTCGTCCAGTCGTGCACGACAGAAAGCCAAGATCCTGTCATATTCGGTGAGATCTGAGCTATCCTACCAATTTGCTAGTCTAGAACCGTGGACAGCTTCAGTTTGGGGTTTCTGTCTCTGCAGGCGGCGGGCCAAATCGTATTCCGGAGCCCTAGACGGAACAAAACAGAACGGCGACGGAACACAACGGAATGCCGGAACGGAGCAGATCGCAGGCACGGAACTAGTCGCTTGCCGTAAATAGACACATGCTGCCCTACAGGCTAGCAGCCTCTAAGTCGCAGTGCATCGACTTTTAGGGGGTTTGGGGCGTTTAGTGTTTAGGGCGTTTAGCGTTTAGGGAAGGGCGTATTGGGTTTATAAGGGTTGCATCGCCACATACTGTATGTTACATAAGCCGTGACATAGGCGTAGTTTCGCGCGGCACATATTTTCCTAAACCCAGTAGTAGTAGTAGTAGTAGTAGTAGTAGTAGTAGTAGTAGTAGTAGTAGTAGTAGTAGTAGTAGTAGTAGTAGTAGTAGTAGTAGTAGTAGTTTACTAGTACTAGTAGTACTAGTAGTACAAGTAGTTGTTGTCGTCGTCTACACTACGAGTAAAGGACTCGTAAAGGACGACGGTGACCACCTTACTAGTAAGTAGTGCGTAGTCCAGCACGGCTAATGCTAGCGCATCTAGGGAAGCAGTCTCCATGACTACATTTCCAAGGCTTGGCATTGGCGATGGTGGCAACGAGGAAGGGCGGATTGCGATTTTGCAGATAGCAAATTTACACAGTAGCTACAGGGACTACAAATGGAGGGTTCAGCATTCAGGGATGATCCCAGAATTCCCATAACTACAACTGTTGCTCATTGGTCCGCTATCTGGCTGGCTCACCCAGAATCGTAAACGTTTGACCGCACAACAACCTCAATCTTAACCGCTCTCAGCGAAAGTGAGACGCGAGTTTGTTCTCAGCTTCGGCTATGCGGTATCGGCAGGTCAGGCTTTTTCTAGCTCGGGTCTCAAAATATCGAGGTTAGGTTTTGGGACTTATTGGCTTTGGGTTTTATTTCGCGTGCCGGTTTGCAGGGTTGGCTTTTGTTGGTTAGGCTCAAACGCAGAACCAGATTTTAAGCCCTAGGCGTGAAAATACACTACCCCATGGACCGAGGAACAGGGACGAGCCCATGTTGGAGTTTAAGTTTTCAATGCTGCATCTTGCAGTATTTCTTCTACTCGGTGAAAGCTAACCCAAGAGGCTGCGAACCTTGTAAGATTCGGGAATTCAATAAACAGCCCAAGCCATCCGTTCAACCTTTCAGCCCAGATATCTGATACCAGGCCGAATCTGGGCCTTAGCGGTATAAGGTGTATAGGGCCGTTATTTAGATGCAAGGTCTAGAATAGGTAGGCAAGCCTTCTTACAGGTTTTTGGCCGAATTCAGCCATTTTATTATAGTACAATAGAGTATAATAGTCTTATCGGCGCCCTCTATTGTTTTGTAAGGTCCTTGATTGCGGGACTAGGGTTTTTGGGCTGCCGGACTACGGTTTATGTCACGGTTTAGAAGCATTCTAGATTAGACTAGTGTTTGTACAGCTTCGGATACGAGTCTCTTCGGACTAGAGGCCTCCAATTGGATGTTACGACAAATAATTCGGGTCCCAGCATGACGCTGCAGAACCACGACCCTGTTTGTACAGGTCGGCATGGGCGTGGTGGTTGCAATCCCAGGCTCAGCTGCAGAGGTTGAAGGGCGATCTGCTTTTGTGGGTTTGCTTGCGTTTTGGGCTTTCTTGTTGGTGTCAGTCTTGTCTATTCGTTTCCTTTTGAACTGTGAGGTTTAGAGGCGCAGTGACGGGAATTCTGATTGCTACTTGTGCCAGTATCAGTATCAGTCCTTTTCTCGTGAGGTTTCTGCTCGTGCTAAAGCCTTTATCCCAAAGTCAAGAATCCAAAAAACCTGACACCTTGAGCCAGCCACCCGCTCTGAGCCAAAACCCAATCCTAAGCCCTAAGCCTTACTTAAGTAAGTCCTGAATCCAACGATGTTGTTTTGGGAGTTTGTCGGAAAGCCCAGTGACACGCTAAGAGTAAGTATTTTCGGGCAAAAGGCTTAGAGCATGTTCGATTTCCACACGGTTTCCTTTCACCATACTTGCCATTAGAGTTGAAAGCTGCTTGGCAAGCTTCGGTCGCCAGGGTAGCTACATTTGTTTTTGTTGAAGCGAAACTGGCACAAGAGCATGTATGGTCGTCTGGTTTGTTGGGTTTTGCTGTGTTCCTGCTCGGCCGGCAGGCGTTCCGCAGCTTTCTCCGGGTGATGAGTTTGCCGCGCTCTCCAGGTGCTTCGCCTTAGTCGCGGCAAAGCTTCCCGACGAACCCTGAAGCTTTTCACTCAACCCGGCAGGCATTGAAAACTTAAGGGACAGTGTCCTGCATATAGTAGAGGAGCCTCAACAATTACTAATGTTATTTCGAAGGGTCCATTTTTGTACATTTACAGCATAATACACCCCCAAAGCCCTATTCTAATTATCAAGGCCCTATTTTGGGAGAGAGTTACAGTATATATAGTACAGGATGCCCCAGAACCCCATTCTAAGTCTTAAGGTCCCTAATATTAATCGAGAGAATCCCCTTGATCGTCTTAGAGCAGAGGCCTCTGTTTTCGGATTCGAAAAGCCGGCTCTGTGGGGGCCGTTCTACATGCGAAGTCTAAAATTGACCAGCGGCCCTGAACGCAAAAAACACCCTGAACTAAACCCTCCAAGCACTTGGAGGTTCATCGCTAGTTATACGTGGAGTTATAAGTACCCTAACATGGGTTATAAGTATACTTACCCTACTTAGAACCCTACTTATAAATACTCAAAGTACTTCCTAGGGTCCTAGATCCTATGCTTTATAAGCCCCTAAACCTTAAACCCCTAAACCCCCACACCTCTAAACCCTAAACCCTCTTGGCCACAAGAGGCGTCCCTGAATCGGAAAAGCCCTTGCCTACTATAGGGGCCAAAATAATTACCAATACTATGTTGACGGTTCTTTCTTATATATATATATATATATATATAGTAGTAAAATATGGGGCACCAAAACCCTATTGCAATTATTGAGGTCCCTATAGTAATTCGCGCGAAGTTTCAAGGCGGAAGCTCTAGAGCCTGAATGTCAACACAAGGGGCCTGAATAATTGGAATAGGGTTCCCTGAAAGCAAAAGCCAGAAAGTTGGAATATGATTATCCTAAACCCTTTAAGATAAATTATAGGGGATCCTGCCATTATTCCATATTCCAACTTTCTGGAGTTCCCTTAACGGGTTCCTTTGACAGGGGTCTACGAGGGCTACTATAATGCAGGGGGGCAAGGGTTCCTTTAGAAAGGTTCTTAAAAAGGGTCCAGTTCGGGCTACTAGAAGGAGTAGTCTGGGGGGGTTTACTATCGGGGCCTAAATGGTTGCACATTATTTTTGTGGTTCCTTATTAAATTTATAGCAGGATATACACCGAAGCCCTATTCTGATTGTTAAGGCCCCTATATTGACAGACATGCTCTTCAGAGCTGTTGGATCAAATCGAGCACTGTATTTAGCGTCTACACATTTTGAATCGCAGGGTTTAGGGTACTGTAAACATAGGGCTATAAGCCCTAACTCTGAATCCAAATTCTAGCCTCCACCCATCCCGTCGAGGAATGGATGCTATCGCGCCTGCGATCACCTCATCCTTGGTACGGTGAGCAATTGGGCAGGCCTTTTTGTGGTCGTGCTTTGCAGCGGAAGTCCCGGCAAGCAAGCAAGCGTGTAAGCGAACGACCGTTTCCTACAACGAAAGAATTGAACAACACCTCTCCGTCCAAGCAGTAAAAGCAAAGGCCCGCCCCGCCCGCAAAAGGAGGCAAATCTTGCCTCAACGGCAGAGAAACACCACCCCCTGTGGACGCCGTAACAGCACAAGAAACTCCGCGCTTCACGCAAAAACAACGAACAACACCAGACCGCAAAAAAAGACACACACACACACACACACACAACACTCCCAGCATAAAAGCAGGCTTGCTGCAAATTCGGGTTTCCTCTTATTGCCATAGAATGTATCCGCATCTTTTAGGGTGCAAAGCTAGTTGTCTACTAGTGATAGACGGGCTGGGCTTTGCAGAGGTTTAGCGGTTCAGGCGTTGTATGTGTTAGTGTGTGTGTGTGTGTGTGTGTGTGTTTGTGCTGTGTGCAGTTGGCCCGATGGTCCAAACCTTTCTGTTAGGGACCCCAAAAGCACATAAGCATAAGCATTATAGGGGGATGTCCCTACTTTATTGGGCTTCATCATAAGGGGGTTTATGTGGGATATGTCTATCCTAACTGTTGCTTGTGTGCTTTCTTTGGGCCCTCAACCTACCAGATCGTCGAGGCACTCTGATTTCTACTTTGTCGATCCACGTGTAGCTGGGCCGCGACCATCAAGGTTCTGCTTCCTGGTATGTAGATTATTGCGGCTTAAGGATTGATTACCTGGGCTTTGGAGCACCATACTCTAATACCTTTTTCTTAAAGAAGCCATTGTAAACTAACAGTTTATAACTTTTTTCTCCTTGGTTACTTAAAAGCCCAGTTACGGACTCATTGAATCGGAGGGCTTGAGGCCAGGGCGGCAGGCTTTAGTTGAGTGAGGTGTTTGTCAGGCCTTCTAAATGACTAGGGGTACCTTATGGTACCTTTAAAGGGATCTGTAAGGGTTCCGTCAAGGGATTATAAGGGTTCCTTTAAAGGGTTTAGGGTGTCCGAAAATTAGGGACGAGGATGCCCAGTAGTAGCCTTATTCCCTTTTTGTAGTCCTAGGTTCCTTATAACGGTACCCAATACCACAAAGGGAGCCTTTTCCTTCCGAGGTTACTGGGCATCCTAGTTGAGGAAGGGGCTGCAGTGTTTGGTTGGGTTCGTCTCGGTTTCGTGGGTTACCCTAAACCTGAAGCCCTATAATTTATTACCCTCAAGCCCCAACCCCAAAACGTTCCTTGACCCACCACGCATTGTTGTAGGGTCCTAAAATTCTGAACTAGACTTTAGAGGGGCCTTTAGTACAGTAGGTTTTGGCTGGTTCAGGTATATAGGGGCGTTCAACACCACCACCACCACCACCACCACCACCACCACCACCACCACCACCACCACCACCACCACCACCACCACCACCACCACCACCACCACCACCACCACCACCACCACCACCACCACCACCCCCAACAAAAGCCCATAACCTGAAGCCCCAAACCCTAGACCCTAAGCCGAGCCCAGAGTGCAAGAGCGCAGCATGAGAACGAGAATCGCCAGGCTCTGCCTTCGAATCAGCAGCAGATGTCCTCTACCCGCTGGTGCCCAAGGACTCGAGAGGAGGCCTGAAAAGAGGGAGGGCTTAGGGTTTTCTCTGTCTGGCTAGTAGGGAATGCGGGAATGGATTATGGAGATTATTATTGGTGATTTTATAGGGACTTCTATAGGGATCCATTCCCCCATGCCCTACTAAGCACCAGGGAGTTCTGTAGGCCTGAACACTGCAGGCGACGTCCTCTCTCCCTTAGTGCCTTAGTAGAGTGTCTAGGGTCTAGGGTTCGGGGGTGTACGGGTCTGGTGTTTAGGGTTGAGTATCTTGTATGGTTCAGGATTAAGGGTTTAGTCGGATTTCGAGCCTAGGGTTTGGGGTTTCATTCGTAAGCTTAGTGGTTTAGGATCTTTGTGTCAAGCACTAAACTAAGTGTCTGAGCCCATTATACAACCCAGTACCAGCCCTATATGACACAACCCTTCCTGATCAGATCAAAGAAGCTTGACGTTGAAGTCAGCAGTGGGCTCAGCAAGCTGAGGGGCTGGGGATTTGGGGCGTCTTTCTGTGTATATCGTGCACTCACCCTCTTACCCCCTATCTACATGTGCGGAAACCCAGACCTTAAAGGCCAACTTGCAGACCTAAAAGCCTAAACAGCCCTGAACCCCAACCCTAAAATCCGAAACCGCGCTGAACCTTCAACCCCTGCCTGAGAGGCAGCTGGACACCTGCAGACCTGGAGGCATGGCCCTACTTAAACGATCATGGGGCTTAGTAACTAGGGTAACTGTATTCATAACTACTTATAACCCCAATTAAGGCACTTATAACCCTACTTACTAAGTCCCATGAGGCTCCAAGTATACAGCCTGTGGGGACCTCTCGGTCAATATTCCTAGTCATTAAGTGAGAGTAGAGTTTAGGGTGGAGGGTTTAGGGGGTACCTTTAAGCCTTTTGGGGGCATTATAAACCTTTTGTATTCCCAAGGCTTAATTAACCTTCTGGAATCTTCTGTGATACTGGAAAAGTAAGTTTTTGTCAACATGTCGATAGTTCTCTAAATTGAATTAAGGGCCCCTTTTGAGGGTCCTTTTTACAAACCTGCCGTACCATCTTGGGGACTGATAAAGGGACCCTAATGTGGGAGTTTCCGAAAATAGGGGTACCTCATTTTGGGGTCCTTATAATAAGGATCCTATTATTTAAGGTACCATATTAGGGTCCCCTATTTTCGGAAACTCCCATGTAGAGAACTACCCATTTCTTGGTCTTTGGGTCCCGATGCAGTAGAAGAGGCATTGACTTTAAGGTTTTGGCCTAGGGTGTGGGGCTAAAAGAGCAGTTGGTGTGATCGGGTGTTGTGTCCTTCGAAGTTGGTTTGGGGGTCACTTTTGCTACACGCTTGAGTTATGGGTGACTCTGCTCCTTTGCAACTCCATGCACGGAACCTCGAGCATCTCTGCCGCATCTTAAACCCCGACGCAGCACCCTAGGTCCCAAAAGCCGCAACCTTGAACCCCTAGTCCGTGAAAAATAGCTGAACCCCAAGCCCTAAACACCTGATCCATACAAACACCCAGAGCCCAATACCCCTCAATTAAGGAATATAGCTTAAAATCATAATATGAAGCCCTTCATAATTGAAGCCATATTCCTGATTGAGGGGTGTTGGGGTCTCTGGGTACCCTAAACCTCGAGCCTTGGAACTCGAGACTCCCGAAACCCTCCGTCCCTACCCAGACCCCTGGGAGAATCCAAAAAGTAGATCCCTTAATGGAGGTTCCTATAAAGTACCCTTAGTAGTATAGGGCCCCGAATTAGGGGATCTACTTTCTAGATCCTCCCGGGGGTCTGGGTATACTGTGAAGCTCCGGGTGGTCACAGGAGAAGATCCTTCGAAGTATCATGGTACAGGGCTGAGAGCACTCGGGCTCTTGAGGGTTCAGGGTATATGGGTATTTTGGTAACAGGGCTCAACCTGCACCATGAGCAACTTGTTAATTTTCCCTTATGGTCCTACAGAGCTACCTATTCATATACTTTTGGGGGCCCCCAACCACCACCCAGCTTAAGGGTTTGTGGTTTAGGGCTCCAGCGTGCATGTAGGGGCTTCCTTTAGGCTTTTCGGGTTGGGAGGCTGGTTCGCGGTTTAGGATTTTACGGACAGGGGGCAAAAGGGCTCCGGGTTGAAGGGTTGAAGATTTAGGAGTTTAGCGGTCTGGGGTTTAGAGTCTATATAGGGTTTGGTGTTCAGGGGGTTAGGGGTTTTGGGTTATGGGTTTTAGGGCTGGCTGCTTGTCTCATGCGATGCGCTGCGGATCCATCATCGTTATACTGTTGCTGGCAACAGTTTGCAGAACAGAAGCAAGGAGTCAGGGTATAGGAAACATGGTTAGAGAACGGCTAGCGATGTGAATCATAGCACGTCGTAAATTCCAGCAGTTGTCACAGTTGTCCTTCGTAAACTGTAAATAAGAGACGCCTTAGGAACAATGATAATAATAATAGGAGAGTCAGGATGATCGGACCCATGAGTCCATGAGCACGCAAACATACAAAATATTGTTCTTGATGGCTACACAGAAACTCCCAGGAAGACTTCCTAAACCCGTAACTCTAGACCCCTAAACCCTAAACTCTAAACCCCTAAACCCCTCAACCCTAAAACCCTAAACCCCTAAACCCTAAAACCCTAAACTCTAAACCCCTAAACCCTAAAACCCCTAAACCCTAAAACCCCTAAACCCTAAACCCTCCCCGTGCTCCCAACAGTTTTGCCAAAGGCTTCGACCGAAACTTCGGGGCTTTGGAGATTCGGGCCCCGCCCAATGGTGGGTCGGTCTTGAGGGTTTAGGGGTTAGGGGTTTGGGGTTTAGGGTTTAGGGTTTAGGGGTTAGGGGTTTAGGGTTTAGGGTTTTAGGGTTTAGGGGTTTTAGGGTTTAGGATTTAGGGGTTTAGGGGTTTAGGGGTTAGGGGTTTAGGGTTTAGGGGTTTGGGGTTTAGGGTTTAGGGTTTAGGTTTAGGGTTTAGGGTTTAGGGTTTTAGGGTTTAGGGTTTAGGGGTTTAGGGGTTAGGGGTTTAGGGTTTAGGTTTTAGGGTTTAGGGTTTAGGTTTAGGTTTAGGGTTTAGGTTTAGGGGTTTAGGGGTTTAGGGTTTTTGGGGTTTAGGGTTTAGGGTTTAGGATTTTAGGGGTTTAGGTTTAGGGTTTAGGGTTTAGGGGGGGTTTAGGGGTTTAGGGGTTAGGGGTTTAGGGTTTAGGGTTTTAGGGTTTAGGGTTTAGGGTTTAGGGTACAGGGTCTCTTAAGACGTTTCCTGGTCCACTTTGGAATCCCACTGCTTGGTGTTTGCACTGTGGGGTTCTGCATTTTGTGAAACTCACCAGTCCAACTTCTTCGGGGCCTTTGCCGAGTGGCGTTTAGAGTTTCGGGTTCGGAGTTTGGGGGCGTGAAGCCTGAGATCTGCTAATACCATAGGGGGCCTAAATAATTACCAAGACTATTTTGGGGTTCCTTATTATGAATGTAGTATAATGGGCCCCCCAAACCCTATTGGAATTATTAAGGCCCCTATATTGGGGGGTTCCTCATTATGAATGTAGTATGATGGGCCCCCCCCCCAAGCCCTTTTCGAATTATTAAGGCCCCTATATTACTGCACTGGCAAAGGCTGCACCGACTTTCGCCGTGGATGGCAAGTACAACGACCGGCTGCAGTCGGTGGACGGCATGTCTTTCGAAGCTTGGGCGAGTCAGGTTCATTGGGGTCTGGGGTCCAGGATGTTCGGAGATTCAGTTTTTGGGAGAAGCCATCATCACCACCACCATCGCCGGCAGCATCACCCTCAGCATCAGCATCAGCATCAGCATCAGCATCAGCAGCAGCAGCAGCCCAGCAGCAATGGCATCATCTTCACCACATTCATTCATTCATTCATTCGTTCGTTCGTTCGTTCATTCACACACCTCGTAGACACGTCCCGCGCTGCAGGTAAGAATCAAAAAGATGCAGCCAGCGCATTCACAGCACTCTCCCACTCATCATCGTCATTGCCATCGCCAGTGACCCACGCACAGGTGATAGCCGGTTGGGAGTGCAAAGTTTCCACAGGAGTAGCAGCCGTCTGCAGGAGCAGCTGCAGTTTTTGCTACGGAGGCATATCTCATCACAAAACCAGCAGCAGTTCATCACTTCCTCATTGCACACCCTAAATCCTCAGCCCTGAACCTTCAAGCCCAGGAGCCGTACCACCGGCAATTCTATGACTTTATCTGGGCCCTCGCGTCTCCCAGGGAAGAGCAGCCTCAGAAAGTCCGCCGGCTCGGGTGACAAAAGCGGGCTTTGGGGCTTCGGAAGTCAAGGGCTGTTTAAAGGCCTCGCCACCACAACGCCAAAGGCATCAAGACCACCATCACCGCCATAAGCAGCCCCACCCTGCACCCACCATGCCCACCTCACCCGAATCACCCCGTGCCGCAACCAGCACCACCAACACGCTGCAAGGGAAGCACAACAGCAAACAACAACTTGGACACTCAAACTACGGGTTGAAATTAGTCGCGGGAATAGTTCTCCGTCGTGGCCCACAGCATCAGTTTGGGCTGCTGAGGAACTCTGGTCAATGTAAGAACCTGATTAAGAAACCTTGGGTCCTTATTGGGGTTCTTAATATGGATCCATATATATATATACACATACATACATATATATATATATATATACATATATATATATATATATATATATATATATATATATATATTTATATATATACTATACGTTAAATAAATAAATATATATATATATATATATATATATATATATATATATATATATATATTATATTATTGGGGTTAAACGGCCAGGGTTTCTTAATCAGGTTCCTACATTACACTCTTGTTGAGGATTTGTTTAAGATTTAAGCTGGACGGGAATGTGCTCTTGACAAGCATTGTCTTGACTCTCTTCTTCCACAGCTCCGTGCTTCTTGCGAGCTGCGCTCTTCATAAGATGGGAGTTTCCGAACGTTAGGGGTAGCTTATTTTGGTGTCTTCATTGTCTCATAATAAGGATCCTACTATTTAGGGTACTACAGCATATTAGGGTCCCCTATTTCGCAAACTCCCTAAACCCTCAACCCCTTATAGAACCCTTATAGATCCCTTAAAGGAACCCTTATGGTACCCTTTAAAGGAACCATATTAGGGTCCCCTATTTTCGGAAACCCCCAGATCGATCCCCCAGACCCAGGCTCAGCACCCTTTGGGTTTCGGATGTTGGGGCTTGAGGGTTGAGGGGTTTAGGGGTTTAGGGGTTTAGGGGTTTAGGGTTTAGGGTTTAGGGTTCAGGGTTTAGGGTTCAGGGTTCAGGGTCCAGGCTTCGGCGGTCAGGGGTCGTCATCACTGCGCCATTCATTGAAGCACAGGAACTTTTTGGGAGTTCCAACTCTGATCAAGAAGCCCTGTCTCTTATAACCGAATAGATTCGGGCATCTTTGGACACATAAGGAACCCTAAGTAAGACCCGGAGTCTCTTAATCAGGTTCATATATGCGTTCAGCGGCTCAAGGCTACACATGGCCCAAGACTGAGGAAAACTGCTATCTGCTAACCATGATTTGGAATTGTGTTGATACCGCTAGAGGTAGTAACCGTACGACTATCGCTACGCATAAGAAGTGGTAGCTGTGTACGATATGTGTAGGCTCCCAAATGCTCACAGCTTCCAAAAAATGCCGTCCCTGCTGCTTTGGTGCTGTCCTCTCTTGCACACCTGGGCTTCCCTCCCCCAACCGCTCCACGAGACGGAAGATGGTATATTTGCACCGGTGCAGGTGGCCCGGCTACCCTTCCACAAGAACTGGGCACACTTGAAGAAGCCGCCAGAGCGATTTTGGATCGAAGTTGGCATGAACAACTGGGACCTATCCGTCCACTATCAAGACTTTGGGGAAGGGGACTTCGTTCTGGGCTTCGAGCCACTTTTGGACAAGTATGGGGAGAGGCTGGCGAGCCACTGGGTTCTTGCGAAGGAACCCATTTTTTTGAATTACCTTGGATTGATAGGGATGTTTAGCCAATCAAACGCTTTCCTTGCTGTGGTAACTTTCATGAAAGTTCCTAAGCCCGCAACCCATAGAACCCTTAAAGGAACCCTAAACTGTGGTATCTTAAGTAGCTAAGTTCTTTGACTCTAAAACTCTTACAGAAAAACAAGAAAGAGCCCAGGCTACAGACCTACGCACTCAGCGGGTAGCGGGAAATTTCGTGCTCTCGGCCGCCAACACGAAAGAGGACTGACTCTTCTGCTAAGGAACTTAACTTGGGGGTTTCCGAAAATAGGGGACCCTAATATGGTTCCTTTAAAGGGTACCATAAGCGTTCCTTTAAGGGATCTAAAAGGGTTCTATAGGGGGTTTAGGGTTTAGGGAGTTTCCGAAAATTGGGGACCCTAATAGAGTACCCTTAATAGTAGGATCCCTATTATAAGGACCCCCAAATAAGGTACCCCTAATTTTCGGAAACTCCCATCTGGGAGAACCTGATAAGGGCACGCTTCGGGCCCTACTACTTCTCTGTTCCATTCCCTTTTTTAAATGGTAACTGAAGTTAAGTGAAGTCCCTCAAGAAGATCTTTTGCTGAGGAACTTAGTCTAAGGCTTCTGGCCCTTTTGATTCCTGGTTGGTTATAGATCCCGGTTATTGTGACTTAAGTTAAGTCCCTTAATTTCGGGACCACAAAAGAACATAAGCATGAGCATTCTACAAGGATCTCCTTACCTTATAGCGCTTCACTATAAGAGTGCCTATATGGGATGTAAGGGTGTACCCAAGCAGTATATACTTTGGCCTTACAGTACTCCTTATATATAGGTACTTTGGGCCCAAAGTCTGTACTATTTGGGTACATGTACCCGCAGGGTTAAGTCCCTGAGCAAGATGAGGACTGGCATTCCCCTTTGCTGTGGGTTGCAAGGGGATGGCGAAGTTTCGTGTCGCTGAAGAGGACTCATGCAGCACGCTTCTTCCCTTAGTTGCAGATACATATCCCGACATTGAAGCCGAGCATCCGGCAGTCCCGAATTTCAAAGCTGACTGCGCAACCTCGGCTGAAGTTCGCACAGTCCCGTGCATTTCGCTGAAGCACGTCATCAAAGAGTGGCTGGGAGGGCACGAGGTTTGGTTCCTGAAGGTGGATGCAGAGGGAGCCGATCTTGCTGTAGTGCAGTCGGCCGGAAGAATGCTGCGGAAGATCCGGCATGTCCAGTTGGAGGTGCGGACACTAGGGATGTAGGGGTTGTAGAGTTTGCAGAGCCCCTCGTGCAGCGCAAACTGCTGAAAGGTATGAGAAAAACACTAAGACGACTACAGTGCATGCTGCATGCAACAACTGCACATGTGTGTAAACTTATACCGCAGTGTGTGTGTGTGTGTGTGTGTTTGTGTGTGTGTGTTTGTCTAGCATGGATAAGCAAGGTAATAAACCGATCGGATCCTGTAAAATCAAGAAGGAGCCTCAGGGTGAGAATCTCAGGTGCACACCGAGTGCGGAGGCATTGCTCCTCAGTTTCTGAATGCCCCCAATTGCTCATCAACCGTCCGTTTTATGCAACTGGACCTTGTTTAGTAGCTAGTTCGTTTGCGTAGGTATCACAAGACAAGAGTACTTCCACACTTCCGTGTTCCAACTGTTAGTCTAAGGACCTTAGGATATGTTTATTTTTGGAATCCTTACCCATCGGCTCCATTGTGGTTCCTTTTTGGGGCTCATGTTTAGGATCCTATAAGGTAACCCCAAAAAGGAACTACTTGGGTACTTTCTGAGTATAGCTTACGTTCACAACCCTAAACCCTAAACCCCAAACCGTGGTTGGGCTTAGGGTTCGAAGCCTAAACCCTAAACTCCTAGACCCCTAGATCCCATATGGTACCGTTATGGATCCCTTTTTCCTAAACTCTAAACCCTAAACTCCTAAACCCCTAGATCCCATATGGTACCGTTATGGATCCCTTTTTCCTAAACCCTAAACCCTAAACCCTAAAACCCGAACCTCAACTTTGACAATTGTCGGGCTGGGATCCTCAACTCTTCCTTCTGCGCTTTCTTCTCCTTGGGTTTCAGTAGGTGTTTAGGCTTTGGGGTTTAGGATTCAAATGCTTGAAAGCAGTTTAGGGTTTAGGGTTTGGGATCTAAGGTTTCAGGATCCAAAACTTTTTAGGGTTTAGGGTTTAGTGCGTTTTGGGGTCATCTTGCTGTGCTCTCGGTGCCCTTTCGACTGTTCTTGTTAGAATTGTTGTCTTACTAGAGGCGGTTGCTTGCTGAGGTGTATTAATCACAGGGGCCTACAGAATTACCTATACCAGTTTGGTGGTTCCTTATCGCGCTGATCGTAGGACATGCCCCAAAATATTCTGGTTATGAAGGCCACTGTTATTCTTGTTCGTCGGGGAGAACTTTTCAATGCGACAGCTTGTTGGAGAATCGCTGGCCTACTTGTGAATGATGAGCTATGGAATTAGTCGTATATGATGAATGTGTCTGGCTTTGAGTCCTTCTTGTCGCAGGCGCACCATTGTGTTGCGATTAGTTCTTGCAGGAAGTCAGCTCAACACACACTATAACCGTCATACATGTCCATATCACTATTCTCCGTGTGAGCTGCTACTTGCCGAAAGCTGCAAGTTGTTTCTTCAATCTTCTTAGGGGTACTTAGAAATGATTTTTAATTTTTGGTTATTATAACCCCTAAGAAACAGCTAAAATCTAATTTTTGCTAGGGTTCTAAGTTCAGTATAGTCTTGGGTCGACTCTAGAATCTAGAGGGGCCGGTACACAAACAGCAGGGTTTCTGGTCCCACATACTGTTGATGGACAAAATCCTGCATTACCCTTTATAAGGAATATACCATAGTTCCCATCGTTTAGAGTCCTTAGGGTCATGCAGGATTTTGTCCATCAACAGTACCACACTATGAATGGTCCTGCATACCTAAGTATGGGAAGCTGCAATTGCATTGTCTTTCAGACGGCATTTCGCGATGCCAGAGGTGGTCGGGTAAGTGTAGAAAGGAAAGTTCTCAACTGAAAGCCACCCCTCCAGGTGTAGTCCCTTTTTCGGCTTACCTTTTGATTCCATTAAAGTAGTTAAGCGGAAAAAGGAATTGAATGGAGACTATAGTATAGGCAATCAGCAGAAAAGCATCTGCATCCGAGGCACAATGCCGGCTACCGGTGCACAACTCAAGACCAAGAAGGGGAGCTGCTTCCAGACTGTGGCGAGGGCATCTGCCAGAAATGCTACAAGAATTTCCCCATCCTGAATTTGCTCTTTATTCGGCAAAGGAGGAGATCTTGACACGGAAGCGGAAAAAGACGAGCTGAGGTTAGGTAGGTTGGCATTGAAGGGCATTGACAGACAGATATGAGAAGTCCACACGATTCCACAGGTCATGCAAGTCCAAGTCCCGAGTTCGGGATGGGTTTAGGATTTAGGGTTTCGTCTGAAATTTGAGGAGTCTCTTCTTTCAGAAAGACTGCAAAGAGGTGCAGCGCTAGTCGCGAAAGCCGCAGACAACCTGCGGAGAGAGGGCCTTCCAGATCTCGAAGATCCCGAGACCTAAACCCTCAGTGTGATAGTGCTTGTACAGTTTTTTCGGGATAATTAAGGGTTTAGTGATTAGGGTTTAGAGCTCTGAGCTCAAGGGCTTAGTTAGGGTTCAGGGATCAAGGTTCAGAGTTATAAACCCAACGGGTTTGGGTTTCGGGATTAGGGTTTCGAGCTGTAAACCCAAAGACAACCCTCGAAGATCTGATCTCGACTCGAGCGACGAATATTTCAAGCCGTCAACGGTTACGGCAAACCTCCATAACTACTAATATAGGGCCTAAATAACAGAAATTACCTATAGTATTTTGGGATTCCTTGTTATAGTTATAGCATAGTGGGACCCCAAAACCCTATTCTAATTGTCAAGGCCCCATATTGGGCCCCATATTACGGCTAACCTTTCCTGAGCCTTACCTCTCTGTCCTGCCAACGCTGGAACCTCGATGAAGCTATGGAAGTCAGGTAGTCCCAGGGACTCCAATATCCCTTAGTTAAGGATATACCTTAAATCATATTAGGGATCCTACCAAAAATATAGGCCTATTCCTGAATTAAGGGATATTGGAGGCTCCGGGGTATTGGCTGGGCTTTGGGAATAGTGCCTGCTCTTGCATCTCAAAAGCGGTTCAACATGACAGCTCGGCTATCACCTGGAGTTCTTCTTATGTCGGAGCCCTTTGAACCCTAGACCAAAAATCTTGAGCGCGAAGCCCTACAAGCCCTGAACTCTAAAAGCCTGAACATGCAAAACTAAGCGACAAAGGGTCATAACCCCAAAACCTGAAGCCCTAAACCCGTAACCCAAAAACGAAAGCCCTGCAGCCCTTAACTCTACACCCGGAGACTTTAAGACTCCGCTATTCAGGGTTCAGGTTTGAGGAATCGGAACGGGCTTGGCGGCTCCGTGTTTCGGCATTCCTTCAATTGAGGGGCTGGGTCCAGGGCTTAGGAACTTTGGGGGCATTTCAGATCTGGTAAGGAGGACAAGGGGCCAGCGATTTACTTTCGAAGGTTTCTTAGGCTTCGGATCTAACATTCACTGTTTCGTGTTACAGGCAACAAGGCCCCTTAAAGGTCTTTGACTTTCTCGCTATGGCTTTGCGCTCAGACACGAGGGGCTTCGTGCTGTCGATGTCGCTGATTGTGAGTTTCACAAGGGGTTCATCATGCGGTTCCTGTTACGCCTTAGGACTGCTATGTCATGCTAGTGTGATCCACGCTCCCGCACCCTGAAGCCGCGGCCAAATCCCCCAAATCCTAAGTTTAAGCCGACTGCTATCGATTGGCCTTAAGGCAGCAATAGCCCCAACCCCACACACTTAGATACATGCTAACCGCCACACCCGAACACGCTAGGAACCTGAACCTCAAGTTTTAAAACCTCACCCCCGAAACCCTTGACTACAAGGCCCTGTACCACGGCACTGTAAGACTCAATACAACCCTATCCTTAAACACGAACCCTCAACCCCAAAGCCTGAACTCCTAAACCCTGAACCCCAAAGCCTAAACCCCTAAGCCCTATACCCCCAAAGCCTAAGCCCTAAAACCCTTAAGCCCCTAAACCCCTAAACCCCTAAACCCTAACCCTTAACCCTATAAGGAAGCCCTAGAACTCGCCATGGGAGAGCGCCTCCCGTCGCAGCTGTTGCCTGGAAGATGGAGAACTGGCAGGTCACGTTTTAGCCGCTAAGAGCATCTTTCAAGGGGGTAGTTGTCAAATAGGTGGTCCCCTTTTTGGGTATCCTAAATATTAGGTGCCGTATTATAGTAGGGACCCCCCAAAACGACCCTAATTTTCACAACCACCCAAAGGAACCCTTAAAGGAGCCCTTGAAGGAGCCTTCAGGGCTCCTGGGCCCTAAGGGTTTAGGGTTTAGGACCACGGTTTAAGGTTTAGGGTTTAGGGTTTAGGGTTTAGGGTTTAGGGTTTAGGACCCTAAACCCTGAAGCCCATGAACCCCAAACCGTCCGACAGGGGTTTCTGCATGCGTGTCAGGGGCTTCTCGAAGTCTCCGAGGGGTGCCCAAAGGCTTTGCTTTTTAGGGTTTAGGGTTTAAAGTTTGGGGTTTCGAAGTCTCTAAAGCGTTCCTAAAAGGTTAGCTTTTTAGGGTTTAGGGTTTTGTGCGTGCTGCATCTTCAGCTCCGGCTGAAATACTAGGCGATCATCAGCTTAAGATCCCCCCCAAGACCTGCCCTGGATCTGCAAATCCCACATTCATAAACCCCAGACCTTGAAACCTTGACAGGTTCTACTCCAAGGGCTATTATCATCGTTCCTATAAAGGATTACTTTGAGGGTTACTTCAAAGGGTACTGTCTTGTTTTACTTTAGTCATCCGACATCCTGTCGGCTGTAACCGCAGGGATTGCCGATGGTCCTGGAGCGAGGGGAGAGTCCTGGATGGAACGCCGACCTCTGCCGCATGGCCAATGCCCCTTGACCGAGCCCAATGCTTAGGGGTACTTAGAAATATTTTTTGATGTTTGGTTAGTATAACCCCTAAGAAACAGCTAAAACTATATTTTTTGCTAGGGTTCTAAGTTCAGTATAGAATGCTTCAGGGTTTAGGGTTTCAGTTTCAACACATCGTGAAAGTCTAACCCCAAGCGCCAAAACGCCAAAACACAGGCCTTTATGTGGCATAGAAGCCTGAACACTTAGTATTTCGAACTAGATCCTACGATAATTATGGTGTAGCATGCCCCAATGTCTCAAAGCCCCCGTATGCTAGGACCCTTGTAGAAACCTTTTCAGAACAAGCCCCTAAACCCTAAACACAATGTTTTATAAAGGAGGACCTTGTTCTTCCAAAGTCCTGGCAGAATTCGTAATAAGCCGAAACCTGACAAGGGCGCCGAAAAAGGGATGCAAAGCCTCGTGGTTGTCAAAACCTTCATAGTAGAGTCCTATATACTAGAACACTCATAAAGCCCTCCTATGACCTTATATAGACCCCCTTCTATATGCTTAACAAAAATCCTCCATCGAACCCATATTATAGAACCTTTATGCAGAACCTGGTATAGAACCCACCTAGAACCCTTGTTTTCAACCCTCGCATAGAGCTATATAGAACCCCAGCGCCAGGGCCCCATTTTGAGCCGAAGCCCGAAGCTTCTTGAACCCTAATCCCCTAAACCCGAAAGCCTAAAACCTAACCCCTAAACCCGAAACCCCTATAGATCCTTCAAAGGGAACCTAAAACCCACCAAACCCCTAAAACCCTGAATCCTAAAACCCCAAACCCCTAAACCCTAAACCTTGAACCCCGCTCCACTCTTAGGAACTCATAGGAACCCTTATGGTACCTTTTAAAGGAAGCCCCTAAAACCCCTCAAACCCCTAACACCCGAGCCCCCAGGAGCTCGTGTCTGCCCATCTCGAGTGCCTCGGAGCCCCGGCTGAGCTCCTGGAGGCCAGACCATGACTGATGATATAATAGTAGTACCAGTACCAGTAGTAGTGCTAGTAGTAGCAATAGTAGTAGTAGTAGTAGTAGCAGCAGCAGCAGTAGTAGTAGTAGTAGTAGTAGTAGCAGGAGTAGTAGTAGTAGCAGTAGCAGTAGCAGTAGCAGTAGCAGTAGCAGTAGCAGTAGCAGTAGAAGTAGCAGTAGCAGTAGCAGTAGCAGTAGCAGTAGCAGTAGCAGTAGTAGTAGTAGTAGTAGTAGTAGTAGTAGTAGTAGTAGTAGTAGTAGTAGTAGTAGGAGTAGGAGTAGGAGTAGGAGTAGGAGTAGGAGTAGGAGTAGGAGTAGGAGTAGTAGTAGTAGTAGTAGTAGTAGTAGTAGTCGTCGTGGTGGTGGTAGTAGTAGTAGTAGTAACCGTAATAATAATTATAAGAATGTAAGAAAAACAGTAGTAATAGTCATCATTGTCAGAAGTATAACAACTAGAATAATAACAAGAAGAGCAGCAGCATAAACAATCGTATGACTAGCAATAAGTAAACGGATCACAACATTGGTAATCGATAGTAATAGAAATTATAACTATGATTACAAACAGCAGTAGCAATACGATTAACTATGACAAGCGCAACAATCATGGTACTTGCAACAACCATCACCATCACTGTCATCATCATCAACATCATCAGCACCATCATCTTCACTACCATCATCATCATCGTCATCATCAGATCCGCGATTGCACCAGCATCATCACACTCACCACAAAAATGATCATCATCGTCATCATCACCAGCATCATCATTGCATTATCACCAGCATCAGCATCACCAGCAGCAGCATCATCGCCATCATTACCATCCTCATCAGAACATGAATGACTAGTAACCACGACCTTCATAATCCCAGTAGCAGTAGTAGTAGTAGTCGTCGTCGTCGTCGTCGTCGTAGTGGTAGTAGTAGTAGTAGTAGCGTAGTAGTAGTAGTAGTAGTAGTAGTAGTAGTAGTAGTAGTAGTAGTAGTAGTAGTAGTAGTAGTAGTAGTAGTAGTAGTAGTAGTAGTAGTAGTAGTAGTAGTAGTAGTAGTAGTTAGTAGTAGTAGTAGTAGTAGTAGTAGTAGTAGTAGTAGTAGTAGTAGTAGTAGTAAAGTAGTAGTAGTAGTAGTAGTAGTAGTAGTAGTAGTAGTAGTAGTAGTAGTAGTAGTAGTAGTAGTAGTAGTAGTAGTAGTAGTAGTAGTATTTTCCTTGTTATGGGTAGTGCAGGATTTATATCATCAACCGTATTATCTCATGCAAGAGCTTGATGATGCGTTGGCAGCCTTTAATCCGGCGAAAGTTGGACAAACAAGCATTTGGAAACCTTTTTAATCAAGCCCAAATCCGAGCATATCACCTCCAAACGAGAACCCGCAATCCTGCACAGACTGAAGATTCATTGTGGTGCATAGCTTGCCGCATTCCCGCTATGAGAGTACTGCATGCAGTAGGGAACCCTGCTTCACATGTTCAGGCTGGCTGTTACCATTGAAACCCGAAAATACTCAAGTCCAGAGTGACACCTGATCACCGTAGGACGCATAACCCTGAAGCACTGAAACCCGAAAACCCTGAACCCCTGAAGCCCTCAACCCGGAAACCTCTCACCCCAAACCCCTGAACTCCTGAAGCTCTACAAATATGAAGCCTAACCACTAGACTCACTAGACCCCTAAAGTCCTCGCAAGGCATGGCGTTTATTTGCTGAGGAGCGTGCGAACTCTCAGGACCGTCGATTTGCCTTAGAGATTCAGCTTTTAGTAATGTAGATGTTGAGCGTGTAAAGGTTGGGGTTCACGGTGGTTTACGGCGGACGGCAGCGATTCTTCTATATTCCTTGCAAAAGGAGAAGGATATCGCAAACCGTTTTAGCCAACAGCTGGAAATTCTTGGCCAGTAGATTGCGTGCTTCCTGCTAGGCTTGGCCAAGCTCCGCAATGGAGTTCCCAAACTACCGAAGCCATAATCCTAAATGTGAATTTCCCTTCTTGGGTTATATTTCATGCGGGTGTACCTTGCTCAGGCTGCATGTATAAAAAGCCTTGTTTTGAAATTTTGTGTGGAGAGGTTACTTCTCTGACATGCAGGATATTACCTAACAGTGCATGTATAAAAGCAGGGTAGATTGCCAAGGAGTGTCGGAGAAGAACGAATAGCAAGGTTTCCTTAGCTTCCTCTATACCCTAGCTGCCTTCGCAAAGCCTTCAAAATGAGAGGTTACACTGTCATATGTTGGGTAAGCCACTTCAACTGTTCTGGATGCAAGCCTTAAACCTTCATGCCCTAACATATGAACCCTAAACCACAAACCCTAACTTTGCCTCTGCATTCCTAACCCCCGTAGCTGAAAGACCTTGGACTCGATACAAGCGATACCTGGACAATCATGAGTATGAGCTTCCTTTAGGGTTGCTTACGTTATTTTTGCGATGATTGTGCCGTGACGCCCAAATTCGACTTTAGAGGCCAATGTATTGCCTCAGAACCCTGAGCCCTAAGCCCCAGACCCCGCGAACTGGCAAAAAACAGCTCCTCAACCCTCCAAAGCCCGAAACTAAACTTCACACTGGCAACCGTAAACCCTAAGCCCCAACTTAGACACAGCAAGCAAACAAACCCTGAATTCGTAAACCGCTTATGAATTCCTTGTAAGGAACCCTTACAGCTTAAAGAAATCCAATAAAAGGCGACCGGTTTGAGGAATTGTATATCGAAGCCATAACAAGAAGGAGCCCCAAGGAGGTGGGTTCTTGTTTTGCTACATCCCTCGATCCCCCACCCTAAACCTGCAACCCTAAACGAGACCTGAAAGGAACCCTAAGCCCCACCCCACCCCCGGTGTGGAAGGACGTTCATGAAGGCACCGAGGTCCCCGTCTCAGAGCTGATGAACACATTGATGATGCGCCTCAGCTAAGAGTCTACCAAGTAGTAGATTATAGTCCTTATATAATCCCCAAAGTTAACTTTTGAGTTTCCTAGGATAATCTACAGGTAAGCTTAACAGCATGACCACATGTAAAACGGCATACAGTCCACTATGCTAGGAATATTGCTAGTATGTTTTGGTAGAATGAGAACACGTTGGAAAGTATACTGGAATACTCTAAGGTATTACACAGTCATAACTTAGTCTAATAGAGAGGTGCTCTTGTCTATGGGATTCAGGGCTTTAGGTTTGAGTCTAGAGAAGGTGAGGCGTGCCTGCATGAGAGAGTTTGGTTTGAGTTATCACAGTGGGAAATACATGAGTGTATGTATATGCATAATATCTATACCTTGGCTTCCTTATTCGGTCGTCTGGCGTGTTTTGAGGTTTTGGATATTTTTGGGATTTAGGCGTTCGAGGTTTCTGGTTTCAGGTTCGTGGCTAGCATGAGAAATCAGGAGCAGAAGCGGACATTAACAAAACTCTAGACTTCAGCACTGCAACAGGGTTGGACTATTAATATTGTTATGATTATGAGCATGATTTGTATCATCATTAGTGTAGTAGTCGTCGTCGTAGTAGTGGTAGTGGTGTTTCCACTAGCTAGCAGCAAAGGGTATGTAACTGTAAGAATTATGTTCATCGCCTTTTTCCTTCGAACCACAGTCATCATGGCTGTCATCCTCATCGTCCCTTTAGCCCTGTCAAATAAGAAGCAACACTCATGATGGTAATGATGAACATGAGCCATGAACGTTTTCCTGGCCATCATCATCTCGATCCCTTTAAAGGATCCCTTATAGGAGCTCTGAAAGGAACCCTTATAGTATAGATCCCTTTACAGGGACCATGTTCATCATCATCATCATCATCATCGAAGGCTCCGGAGCCTGGGCGGATCAAACGAAGTGCGGCCTCTGCGGGATCGCATCCCGCCGAGTCCAAAGTCCAGCGAAAGCAAGGCCTCGACGTGGGTTTTTGTTTCGTGTGTGCACGCGCGGGTGTGTGTGTGTGTGTGCGTGTGTGTGTGTGTCTCTGTGTGTGTGTGTGTCTGTGTGTCTGTGTGTCTGTGTGTCTCTGTGTCTCTGTGTCTCTGTGTCTCTGTGTCTCTGTGTCTCTGTGTCTGTGTGTGTGTGTGTGTGTCTGTCTGTGTGCGTGTGTGTGCGTGTGTGTGCGTGTGTGTGTGTGTGTGCGTGTGTGTGTGGGTGGGTGTGTGTGTGTGGGTGGGTGTGGGTGTGTGTGTGGGTGTTGGTGTGTGTGTGGGTGTGGGTGTGGGTGTGGGTGTGGGTGTGGGTGTGGGTGTGGGTGTGGGTGTGGGTGTGGGTGTGGGTGTGGGTGTGGGTGTGGGTGTGGGTGTGGGTGTGGGTGTGGGTGTGGGTGTGGGTGTGGGTGTGGGTGGGGGGTGTGGGTGTGGGTGTGGGTGTGGGTGTGGGTGTGGGTGTGGGTGTGGGTGTGGGTGTGTGTGGGTGTGGTGGTGTGTGTGGTGTGTGGTGTGTGTGGTGGTGTGTGGGTGGGTGTGTGTGTGGGTGTGTGTGTGTGTGTGTGTGTGTGTGTGTGTGTGTGTGTGTGTGTGTGTGTGTGTGTGTGTGTGTGTGTGTGTGTGTGTGTGTGTGTGGGTGTGGGTGTGGGTGTGGGTGTGGGTGTGGGTGTGGGTGTGGGTGTGGGTGTGGGTGTGGGTGTGGGGGTGGGTGTGGGGGTGGGTGTGGGTGTGGGTGTGGGGGTGGGTGTGGGTGTGGGTGTGGGTGTGGGTGTGGGTGTGGGTGTGGGTGTGGGTGTGGGTGTGGGTGTGGGTGTGGGTGTGGGTGTGGGTGTGGGTGTGGGTGTGGGTGTGGGTGTGGGTGTGGGTGTGGGTGTGGGTGTGGGTGGGGTGGGTGTGGGTGTGGGTGTGGGTGTGGGTGTGGGTGTGGGTGTGGGTGTGGGTGTGGGTGTGGGTGTGGGTGTGGGTGTGTGTGTGTGTGTGTGTGTGTGCGTGTGTGTGTGTGTGTGTGGGTGTGTTTGTCTTTTTGGAGGGGGGGAGGGTGGTATAAGGCCGAAGAGAGGGGGGTGGGTAAGTTAAGTTGCTGTTAGCGGATTTTAGCGGTTCAAGTTTTACGGTTAAGGGGATCAGGGATCGGAGTTTTGGTTTTACCGTGCTTGAGCGTCTCCGCAGCATGGCTGATGGTTCAGGGTTTTCCCGATTAGGGCCAGACTCTTCTAGAGTTCATGGCTGCGGCTTCGAGGCCTCATTTAATCGACAGCCCACCAACGCGTGCAGCCTTCTGTGTATAGGGCTTTAGCCCCTGCTGGGTTCTTGAAGTTTTGGGGTTACGGGCTGTGTCTTCAGCGGTTTCCGTCGTTCTTCATGAGTCCTGTGTGTGTGTGTGTGTGTGTGCGCATGGTGCTGGAAAAGTCTACGTCTACGCCTCAGAACATGGTTTTGGCTATCGGGACTCATTTTGGCAATTGCTTTTACCAGGCTTCTACAGTTCTGTGTGCTGTTGAACACGTCTCGGCCATTGCATGTCTCGCCAGACAGAAGAAACGTTTCGGGTTTAGGGAATTTCAGCACGACGAGACAGAATCAGAGGAGGTAATCATTCGGAAGTCAGCGCCCGTTAGCATTGTCTTAAAGCCGTTGAAAGGAGCGATGGCAGCAGATGTGTGAGAAAGCGAAGCAGATGGTGACCAGGGCATCCGGTTTGAGATCAAGGTTTAGTATGGGCTTTGGGTCGCTTGTTCAAGTTTTTCTGTCGGGATTTGTACGTTCCTTCTCAAGCATTTTGTAAGGTACCCCTGCTGATGGGTTTGCTTAACATGTTATTGGGTTTTCTGGTTGTATATGTTGCCCCCTTCCAGCTGTTTTGGGGTTTTACAGGGCCATAGGCTTTCATAATAGGGGCTACTATTTGCACCATAATGACCCCCAAAGTTCTATAAGAATTATGAGGGCCCCTATATTAAGGGTTTTAGGGCTTTGCTGGTGCTTATGGTTTACCGTAAACCCTATAAGCCCCAAGCCGCTTATCTTCAGGATCTGTTTAGGGTTTGAGTAGCTCGAGCTGGCGTCCAGGGTGGAGGTTTCACGCGTCGTAGAGTCTTAGGCCTCTCCAGCCCTAGGGTTCACCATGAGGGCCTCATAGAGGTCTTAGGAAGGCCTTATACGGGTTTGCAGGTTTAGGCTTCAGGGTTTGGGGGTTTCGGCTTCTTCGGGGGAAGGGGGCGCATGGTCATGCACGTCGTTTAGCAAAGGCACGCGTTTCTTGCGAAAAGCCCCAAACCCCTAAACCATAAACCTCTAAACCCTAAACCCCTAATCCCCTAAGCCCTAAACCCCTAAACCCCTAAATCCTAAAATGGTTAAGAAAAAAGCCCAGGATCACCAAGAACCCGTCATGGCGGCCTCGTCCAGTGACTTGTACGACACGCCGATCGCGCGGGCCGGGTTTCAGGGTTTAGGGTTTGTAAGGTTTAGGGTTTATAGGCCTTTATAGGATTTACAGGGATTACAGGGTTTATAGGGGTTATAGGGTTTATAGGGCTTATAGGGTTTAGGGTTTCAGGTTTTGGGTTTAGGGATCGTTCGGGATGGGGTTCTAGTATAAAAGGTACCTTGAACTACCGAAGCCTACTTTGCTGCCAGGCCCCTACAGCATAGGGCCTAGCATTTGTAATTCAAGAAAACCCTGCAAGGGATTAGGTCACCCGAAGGGTCCATGTGCCCGAATAGTATATACTCAGGCCTTAAAGTAGTCCCTATATAGGTCCTTTGGGGCCAAAGTATATACTGTTTAGGTACATGGACCCTTGGGGTCATGGTGGCTTGAGGTATATATTCATTGCTCGAGGAGCCAGACTCGAAAAGTCGTAGTTACCAGAGGCCCCAGCCTATATAAGGTAATCCCACAAAGGAACTACTATGGAACCTATGGGTAAACATCCCCAGAAACAGCACGCGGTGAGAAGCCTGACGGAACGAAAGCTGTTTATGAATCACACCCTGATGTTGCACGCAAGGATTGAAACTTTGTCGGTACCCGAGGTGTTCTAAGATATTCCTGAACTGTATACCATAACCTATAAACGCCGCCTTCGTAGACATGTGGGAATCCTGCTTCTCCTGGCTGTTGCTGAGTTTATGTCTATGTCCGCAGGGAGCCAGGTTTTTGTAGTGTCCCTGCAGCGGGGGGCTGGAAGAGATACAGGTTTGTTGGTGCGCAGGGTGCAAAATTAACAGCAGTTTACTAGGTATCGGTTTGGGAGATTTGTTCATTTCCTTCATGGTTGAGTATAGATTTTGATTATTTAAGCGGCCTCAATTATCAACAATCTGGCGGCTGTTGACATCGACATCTGGTTCGGTAATTGGGGCGTGGAAGGGCTAAACTTTGGCTGCGTTGTTACTTGGATGTGCTGTTTAACGGTTTACGGGATCTGTGAGCCTCTTTCCGTCGTACTCTTTCTTGGGGCTAACGGTTTAGAGCACCATAAGGCTTATTATAAGGGTTCAGGGTTTAAGGGTTTAAGGTTTGTCAGCGGGGGTTCGGACGATCAGTGCTGGGATTCCCGGTAGTTTACCTTCAGGGCATGAGGTTAATGAAGCTCCAACTTTCTGGCTTCTGCAAAGGAACAAACAGGTGTGTCAAGGGTCCCTACGGCCTTGAAGTCCAAATCTGTGGAACCTTCGACCCCGCCGAAGAGCTTCAGCCCTAAACTAGAATCGGAAAGAAAAGCAAAAGCCCAAACGCCCTAAGCTCGAACCCCTAAACCCCTCCAATCCCACGGCCTTAGACCGCAGGCCACAGATTCTGCGGAGACTGGGCGCCGTTTTCGATCTTTGAGATGGTGGGTGCGCGACCCGCCGCAAGCTCCTCGCTTCTGATTAACAGGGTTTAGGGTTTAGGGTGTAGGATTCTAGGGGTTACACTGACCGACCAAAACCTACTTGTCGCACGGTTCCTGTAAACCCCATGAACGGTTGGCACAGGAAATACAACCCGAAAAGCTTGACACACCCCACCACCAAAACGCACATACACACACACACACACACAACAAACAACAAACAAATGGGACCACGATAGTCAAGTGTAACTTGAGTCGGCACCGTACCCGAACCGTAAAACCCCAAACACCCAAACCCTAAACCCCCAAACCCCAAAAAAGCAGAACCCTAAACCCTAAACGCTTACAGTACCCGTGTGGATCCCTGGCTGTATAGTAATCCTGAAAGGAACCCTCAAAGGAACATACCAATAACAGCCGATATATACCGTTAATTATATACAGTGATATACCGTAGTTTATCATTATAAACCATATTATCCCTTTACATAGGGTAACCCAAAACCCCTAAACCCTCAACCCCAAAATCCAAAGCCTTAAACCCCACAACCCTAAATCCTAAACCCTAAGCCCCGAAACCCTAAACCCGAAACCCTCAGCCGCAAAACCTTACTTCCTTCAGCTCCAGGCGGCTGCAGCCCCGCCGCTTCCTGAGGAGGTCCCCCGGGAGTACCAGACTCTTGACCAAGTGCCTGGGTGCCGTTTGGGAGGAGATCAGGGGTTAGGGTTTAGGGTTAGGGGTTTAGGTAGTGTTTAGCAGGAGTTCAGGGTGGTTAGGACTTAAGAGTTTAGGGTTTAGGGGTACCTGTGACACAAAAACCTGATCAAGTGCTTTGGTAAACCCTGTAATTAAGGAGACCTAAACCCTAAACCCTAAACCCTAAACCCTAAACCCTGTAGGGTTTGGGGATACAGGTAGGAGTTTCAGGGTTGCTACACGGGTTTAGGAGTCTAGGGGGCAGTTTGGGACTTCAGGTGTCGAAGTTAAGCGTTTCTTTCAGGGATATACAAAAGATCTTTAAGGGATCGAGTCTGTAGTATGTCTATGAAGGTTTAGGGGTTTAGAGGTGCAGGGTGTAGGGCGTTGGGGTTGAGGAGTTTACGGTTCTGGATTTTGGAGTTTGGGGTGTTTGTTTCGAGGGGCTTTACGGGTTTAGGGCTTAGAGCTTAGGTTATAGGCTGCAGGGCACAAGGCTTATAGATTATAGGTTCCTATAAAGTACACTAAGGCCCTTACGGGACCCTCATAATACAACCGTATGAAACGCTTCTGGGAGCCTATGAAGCTCGTAGGGAAAGCCTTATAGAAACCCTGATGCTGAAGTAGTGTAACTGTGTAACAAGCGTAGGAGTCTGGGGAAGCTGTACTTCACACATATTTTAGCCAGGACTCTTTTGCATGCGTTTATCGTAGAAGCCCTCGGCGGACCCTGGCCCAGTCTAATCGTGCCGGCCTTCCAGAGTTTAGTCCACGACAAAGAGCTCAAGTTTCACAGTTTTGGTTTGTGCTCTTGGTAGGCTTCATGGGGTTGGTATAGGGTTCATGGTCTGGGGTTCTGGATCCTTTAAATGAGTCACGAATCTAAACTGAAGCCCATACTTACTGAATTCAATTGCTATTTCTACTTTGGAATTCAGGTTCTCGATGAAGCACGTATTTCGCGCTATGGGCAGCCTGGCTTTCAAGGTCGTAGTAGCTGATTCATTGATTGGCAAGGTTATGGACTGGTTGGTCCATTCAGAAAGACGTTTCTGTGGCAATATACAATATGAGTTAGGTACGGCCCCCACTCAGTAATAGTTGAATAATATTCATAATATAGATATAGTAGGACCTTAATAGTAGCCCTATTATAGACTCTTACTGTAAGGGGGCCGTACCTAAAATATGAGAGACCAGGGCAGAGCCCGGTACTTTGGAGCGTGTCGACAGGTTCTCCTCCGACTTTGAGCTGGGTCTCTCACTTGAACCTGTTTCCCAGGCCTAGATGACAGCAGAGAGCCAACACATCCGCAGACAAATGGCTACATTATTTACAATCACATACATACAAATACATACATACATACATACATACATACATACACACATATATATCTGTGTGTGTGTATAGATCGATGTAGGTATGTGTGTATGTATGTACGTGTGTATGTAGGTAGGTATGTATGTATGTATATATAGCAGAGATGTCTTCAGTCCACAGTTACAGATGTGGCCATGCTGCATTTTTTCATAAGCAGAGCGGCCAGACTTCGCGGTTTTTTCGTTGGCTGGTTAGTGCCCAAAGGCTTCCCAATGCGCGGCTGCCGCTAGGGGCCTTAAATAATTAGAATAGGGTTTTGGGGCCCAAAATACCATAAGCAAAATAAGCAACCCCTAAACTGGTATAGCTAGCTATTCAGGCCCCTATAGTAGTGGTCTTCGTTGTGCTCTGCCGTTGTTTGGGGATCCATGCTGGCACATGGTTTTGAATGCTGCATCGCATCTTCTCGGAGCCTGTCCCTCAGACTCGTAAGTCGTAAGACCTCAACGACATGAACTCCTAATCCCTAAAACCTAAACCCTAAACCCCTAAACCCTAAACCCAAAACCCCTAAACCCTAAACCCTAAACCAACCCACAACTGCAGCCCCAATCTTCTCAACCACGTCGCGCGTATATTCGCCATGTGGGCATGTGCATGTGTGCGTGAGGCTCACCTACAGCATTGAGAAGAGCTTCAACCATCATTACCAGCTGCAGCCCTGAACCCCTAAACCCCGAAATCCCTAAACACTAAACCCCTAAACCCTAAACCGCTAAACCCCTAAACTCTAAACCAGCCTCGCGCCTCGGTTCCAAAAGAAAGCAGGAAAACAACTCTCGATGTCAAAGGCAGCTCGAAGCGGTCACTGACAGGGAGATCACCAGCTGCTGGAAGGTCACCCTTTTGTTTAGGGGCTAAATTTAGGGGTTTAGGGTTTAGGGTTTAGGGGTTTAGGGTAGTATGAAGGAGACCCCTTAAAGGGTATGGTCACACGCTTTAAGTACACCTCTCCCTCCCAAGCCGATACAACAAAGCCTACCTGGAGCCGAAAGGAGCTACCTTTTCAGGGCTCCTTATTATGGTTTCTACATATGCTTCCTCAACATCTGATAACACCTACTTTTTTTGGTGTTCCTCTTGTTATAACTTCTTTGTGTAAGTCCGTAAAAACGGTAGGGCCTTTGGGGCTAAGGTAGTTTTTAAGTTTTGAACTTTAAGAAGCCGATAATCCCGAACTCCCATACCTAACCTTCTTGGTCTCCAAAGTCCAAACCCGTCGAAGCACTAAACCCTGAACCCTAACCGCCGCAAACTCTACAGATCCCGTACTATAGCTTACTACACAGATCCTTAAACCTTAAACCGCACACCCCGAAACCTAAACTCCACACCCTAAACCCCTCAACCCCTAAACCCAAAGCCCTGAAAGGGGCCCTCAAACTCCTAAGAACCCTTAGCCCTAATTCCCTAAACCCTAGATCTGCCAGGCAGCCTTCCGGATGGTCTTGGATCTGGTAAAAGTCTTCCGTGCGACTGGGCCCTTGTTAGGGAACTTCTTCTACTGCTACCGTAATTTTAAGGGTTAATTTAGGGTTTAGTGTCCAATTAATTTTACCCTAAATTAGCGTTTAGGGTTAAATTAGAGTTTCTTTCAGGGTTCTAAACAGGTTTAGGACTAGAACTTAGTTTAAGTTGCCATCGCTTAGGCTGCCTTTTACAGTTCTATCATGGTTTACCTTTGCGGTCTCGGAACTCGTTTTGAGTTACCATGACAAGGAATCCCCACTACTCACCAGAGATCCCCATTCATTGTGGCATCTTTCAACCCTAAACCTAGACCCCTTCTAGTGTTCTTATAGACCCTGTATTGATATCCTTAGACGGGCCCTTAAAGGAACCCTTAAACCAAAATCCCTAAACCCGCAAACCCCTAAACTCTAAGCCCTAAACCCTAAATCCCTAAACCCCTGAACCCTAAACCCCCACACCCTAAGCCCTAAACCCTAAGCCCTAAACCCTAAACCCCTAAACCCCTAAACCCCCAAACCCCAAACCCCTAAGCTCTAAACCCCCAAACCCCAGCCCCTAAACCCCTGAACCCTAAACACCCAAACCCCAAGCCCTAAACCCTAAGCCCTAAACCCTAACCCCAAGCCCTAAACCCTAAGCCCTAAACCCTAAACCCTTAAAAAAGGGCCGAAAAAGACCCTTAAGCAGAACCCAGGCAACACCCGACGAGGCTGATGTTCATGGCGAGGTCGGGTACTTGGAGATTTCAGGGTTTTGGGGTTTTGGGTTCCTTTAAGGTTTTAGGGGCTTTAGGGGCTTAGGTTTTAGGGGCTTTAGGGGCTTAGGTTTTAGGGGCTTTAGGGGCTTAGGGGTTTGGGTTTAGGGGCTTTAGGGGCTTAGGGGCTTAGGGGTTTAGGGGCTTAGGGCTTAGGGCTTAGGGTTTAGGGTGGTTAGGGTTTAGGGGTTTTGGGGTTTAGGATTCGTTTTAACGGGTTCCTATAAGGGTGCCTGTAAGGAGTACTACAAAGGTTCTTTGAGGGTTCCCATAAGGATCACTTTTGGGGATCCATACGGGTACCATAAGGGTTCAGGGTTTAGGGTTTCGGAGTTAGGGCTTCTGCGTTGCGGGTCTGGGGTTTCCAGGTTGGGGTTAGGGGTTCGCCTTTTGCAGGGTTTAAAGGTTTGTGTAAATATTTCATAGAGGTTTAAATGGTGTTGGGGTTCAGGGTTGCGTGTGCGCAAAGCTATGAGCGCTTTCCAAAAGCATGTCGCTAAACAAACTTAATCCATGTCATAGCTGTCACTTATGCGCAAGGCCTTACTTGTAAGTACCCCGGATCATTCAAGTATTTGAGTGGTTTTCATAGTCGGGAAAGGGCGTTGGGGGGATAGGATATCATGCCGTAGCTACAACGAAGAGCGGTCAGGAATCGTATTATCTGCTACTCTGCTTGAGAAGTAGGTTGTCCAGGATAGGCTTGAGGTTTAGGGTTGTTCGGCATGCCTATCTCAGCAATAGCTTCAGAGATACGGACGCAGGTTAGAGTGCAGGGACGTTTAGGGCGTAGGACTGCATCACCAACTTGCCCATAAACAAGACTAGGGCCATCGCGAGGTGCAAGACAGATGCTAAAAGCTGCAAGACATTTCCGGAAGGGGGTTCCTGCTAGTTACTAGTGGAGAGGTTTAGCATGTAGATTTGATACGGTTGATGCTATGAATCCTGCATTAACCATAATAAGGAATGTACCATTATTCCCAGAGTTTAGGGTCCTTAGGGTAATGCAGGATTTACATCATCAACCGTACCAGCCCGAAGTTGAAACCCTGAGCCAACATCGCAGCTTTCGACAGGAGCAGGTCGCATCATCCGGCTCGCCGTCCACAGTCTTCTCCACCACGCAATACGCTGCACGGCTGTGAATCTACCATGGCTTGGGTACTGCCCCCAGTCAGTAACAGTTGAATAATAGTCATAGTATAGGTATATTAAGACCTGAATAGTAGCCCTATGATAGACTGTTACTTGTAGGATTGGTTAAGGCCTCTGGATGTGACGATGCATGGCTTTGAGCTGTATCATGTGTTTCGGTCAGTTCGTGTTTTTTTGGGCCCATTGGTTGATGTCTTAGAAGCGACATGTCTGAATTTGTTGGCATGATGTCTTTGGGGCTTTGGTGGAAGCGATGATTCCGAGAAAGAGATAGCCAGCAATGTCACGCAAGGTCCGTGGCGTCACCGACCCCTTGCCAACCCCGCACAAGGCCAGGGGGCCGGTATTTGGGTTTAGGGTTTCGGTTAGGGTTTAGGGTTTAAGGTCTCCCATTTTGTATGGAGTGGACGCGTGAAGCTTAACGTAAGACCAGAATGGTTTGGAGTGGCAGGTCAACTGCCACGGACACTTACTGTACATGTAGAAGCAAGTCTGTACACCCAACGAAGCCAACAGTGGCGAAGTATAAAAGGACCCTTAGCAATTAGAATCATATTCGGGGTTATCTTCTATAGAGCATCACCAAAACCCTATTCTAATTATTAAGGCCCCTGCGCCTTTCCTTTCCGTTTCTGTTGCTGGCCTGGCATCATAGCTGTGACTGCTGGTGTGGCCATTTTTTGTCGCACTCGCATGAGTATCCCTTGCAGTAGTGACCCTTTTTGCAGCACTCATACTAGCCACCCCTTTGGTAGCCCTTATCATAACCTTTTTAGTAGCACTTATAGTAGCCCTTTTGGCAGCACTTAGCAACACTTTGAGTGGCACATATAGAAACCCCTAAATTCCCTAAATAAACTAAACAAAAACGCTAAGCCCGGAACCCTAAACCCTTCTAGCAACTCCCCCGTCTAAGGGCCCCAAGCCTTAGCTTCCTGCAGGCACGCTCGGAACCTTCACTGCCCCCTCGATCCCATTCCCAGGAGGACGGTACTAGTAGGGTACGGTTTGGAGTTTATGGTCTGGAGTCCAGGGTTTTGGGTTTACGGTTTAGGGTTTGGTTGATGCATTGACGGACGGCCTTCAGGGCCTAATTAGGGCTTTTGGGGCTAATGGTTGGGGTTTTGTTTTCTTCTATACGGTTGGAGTAGTTCAGGGTTGGTATGAAAGGATTTGAGGTGTCGCGGTGTCGCTTTGGAGGACGTAGGACTTTGGGTCCAGAGCTTGGGTTTACCGGTTTGTTTTTCCGGGTGGCAAGCGGAGCCTCGTGTGCTCCACACACTAGAGGGGAATTTGATGTGATTTGCTGAAGTCATTGCCTTGTGACACCTGCGGGGCTGTGGCGAAGAGGACCGACCGACAGCGAAACATATCTGCTCTTTATGGTCGGGTCCTTAATAAAGAATAGGGTTTTAATGGTTCCTTGTTATCGTAATAGTATAATATACCCCACAACCCATTCTAATTATTAAGGCCCCTACATTATAGAACTCTACTATAGAGCCCTTTAAGGAACCCTTTAAACGGCACCCTACTCTAACTGTTAAGGCCCCTATATCCCAATTCTAATTATTCAGGCCCTAACGTTACTACAGTAGAAGCCCAAAAGTTGGAAACCCCATAGCCTCAATCCTTAAGAGTAATGTATGGGGAATCACAGCACTATTTGGCATTAATTCGGTTTCCAACTCATGGGGTTTGCTGTAAGGCCCCTACATTATAGAACTCAATCAAAGATCCCTTACTATAGACCCCTTTAACGGAGTCCTTTAAAGGAGCCCTATTCCAACTTTATCGGGTTTACAAAAGTCTTTCGAGGTACCGAGACTCCGGCTGCCCGGCCTTGTCTCACGGTGCATGTAAAGAATTGGGATATAGGGGCCTTAATAGTTAGAGTGGGGTTCCGTTTTTGAAGGATTCCTTAAAGGGCTCTAGAAGGGCTCTATATATGACGTACGCGGTCGGAGTAATCTAGGGCTCCTGATGATAGATATACTCTAATCTACAACTAGATCTGTTAGAACATGGCGGCTCCTGTGTTATGTTAAGCCCTACTGTAAGTTGAAAATCATCCCTTCAGAGGCTTTCGGCTTAGGGTGCAGAGGCTTATATTCGAGGGTGTATAGGGAAGGATATAGCATGCCGACGAAGGAGAACGTAGAATGCAGAGGCCATAGAGTTTAGGATGAAGTTTCTCATTGACCGTGATTCATTTTCTTTTTCGCTGCATTCAGGACACACTTCTTTGGTTTCAGTGCGTTTCGGGCTGTGCTTCTATTTAGTGGAGTAGACAGGACTAGCTGTGTCCGAGATTGGCGCCAGCTATGTTCTGAATGCAGCCGCCCGGCCAAAGCAGACACAGTTCTAGCAGGCTTCCATGCTGGTGTCTTTGGGACGACATCTTAATCCCAATCACTCTCAGTTATACTTTGGCCGTATGTACCCCTCAGCGTCATCCTCATCGTCATCATCACCATCATCATCGTCACCATCGCTACCATCACCGGCAGCAGGTAATGCCAGCACCGCCGGGTCATCGTCACCACAATCGACATCATCATCACCTTCAACATCAGCAGCAGGAGGAGTCGCACTGGATCACCAAACCCGCCGCCACTGCCGCCACCTGCACGGCCACCGCCACTCCGGCCAGGGACCTTCCCGAAGATTCAGGACTCTCGTCTCATGCAGGCCTGCACGGCTGATGGACAAAATCCTGCATGACCCCGAGGACTCTAAACTGTGGGAACTATGGTGGATTCCTTATAAAGGGTAATGCAGGACTTTGTCCATCAGCCGTAAGTAGGATCCTTTATCAGCACACCCCGACACGAGGACCCACAGTTCAAGAACCAGGCTCTGTCTACATCCCAAACATACATGACCGTAGCAAACTTACAAAACCCTAGTAGCCCTGTATATGAACTCACACAGAGAAGCAGATCCGGAAGACAAGCTTCCGAGGCGCATGCTGGTGCCTGAGGCCAAAGTGCCCATGGACGATGCAAGGACAAAGGAGCTTCGGTCTTCTACATCTTCCTGCGTGTTTATGCCCTAAGCCCTAAGCCCTAAACCCTAAAACCCTAAAGCCATAAACCCTAAACCCTAAGCCCTAAACCCTAAAGCCCTAAAGCCCTAAAGCCCTAAACAGAGCTCGAGGTTTCGGGTCTGGAGTCTTGAAGGCTCGGAAGGTTTCGGATGTAGGTTTTCGGGGCGACGGGGAGGTTTGCTGCTCGGGCCGGAGATGAGGCAAAGATTGCACCGTCACGGTTTAGCCTTCAGAATGTATCGTTTAGGGTTTGGGGCTGTTTAGATGGGAGTTCCCGTTGCCCCTTTGCCCAGCTGACCAGCATCGAGCATGTCGACAGAGTTGAGCAGACCAGTAACACCTCCGATGCAATAGTAGTCCCTTGCTGCCCCTCGTCTATGTATGCGAGAAAACTCTTACATGCCTTGCAAGGCTCCCTAAATCGCCTAATCCCAAAGCCCCTCAACCCTAATTCTTATACCCTGACCCCTAACCGCCAAACCCTATAATAATACACCCTAATCTGTACTACTCCTCCTCCACCTCCTCCTCCGTGCGTTTGCAGTTCTTCTTGCATTCTGCGGCTGTTTGATCCCGGCACCTTCGTAGTGCAAGTTTCCCCAAAGTAACGACAACCTAGACGACCCCCGACAGTCCGGTAGGACCTACATAAACTTGGTTCCGAACAAGGCCTCCATTGCAAAGACGCTTAGCGATGTTTGGTTCCACCATGGATGTAGAGCTACGCCCCGCCATCTCGTTTGTAAGACAAAGTCGAATTTCTTAAGGGAATGCTGGAGGTGACGGAGAATGAGAAGGCTCACGTTGTACGGTTGATGATATAAATCTTGCATGGCCTTTGTGACCCCAAACTATGGGAATTATGGTATTTTCCTATTATTACGGGTAGTGCAGGACTTATATCATCAAGGGTTGGGGGGGGGGTCGTGGTAAACCCTACACCCCTAAAGCCTAAACCGTAGTTCGGTTGCTTGCCGACGCCATGGAGACCGGGCCGTCGGGTGCACAGGAAGAGGAGATGCAGGCTGTAGCACGGGGGGGGTTTAGGGGTTTAGGGTTTTAGGGTTTAGGGTCTTGGGGGGTATAGGGTTTAGGGGTTTAGGGTTTTAGGGTTTAAGGGCTTAGTGTTTCGGGGTTTAGGGTTTAGGGGGTCTAGGGTGTAGGGTTTAAGTTATCAGTTTGAGGGGTTTACGGGTCATTCAGGGTTTCCAGGCCCATGAATGTTTCCAAGTTCTCACGTCTTTAAAGGGATACTTTTGAAAGGAGGCGCTGCGCTCCTGTGTATTGCTTAAGGGGTCCAGATAGTTACCTATGCTATTTTGGGGGTTACTCAATAGAACTATAGCATTGTCTACCTCAAAACCCTGTTCTAATTATTAAGGCTCCTCTATTCAAAGCCAAGAAGCCTTAAGCATCCTGAACCCAAGAGCCCCTCAGCCATTCGCACATGAGTGGTTGTCAAAATTATGGTCCCTTTCTGGGTCCCTAATATAATACAATATAATACAGCACCTCCAGTTTAGGGTATTCAAAAAGGGACCCCTATTTTGACAGCTACCCACATGCTGCACCTACTTCGAGCCCCAAACTCCAAGATACTCCATACCCTGTAACTTCTTTTACTGCGACATAGGGTTTGGGGCCAACAAAAACCCTATACCCCAAACCGTAAAGAAACATAACATGCTTGAGCCTCAGATGCAGTTAAAATCCCGAATGCATCCCAACGCACGGGTAACGCGGGTCGGCGGTTTTGAAAGAGGCTGCTGCTGGGCTTTGCTTCTGGTAGGGTTTGATGTTGAAGTTTCAGGGTTTGGGTGCTTGAGATGGCACCTTGTCGAGGGATGTCTACTAAATTCAGTGATGTTCACCTCAGTTCCAACCTGTTGCCAAGACAAGGCCGCACCATATTGCTATTCAATGCCTCTGGTTGCAAAGCCTAGATACTCACGCACTACTACCTTACTACACCACTACTACTACTACTACTACTACTACTACTACTACTACTACGACGACTACGACTACGACTACGACTACGACGACGACGACGACTACGACTACGACTACGACTACGACTACGACGACGACTACTACTACTACCACTACTCCTACTGCTACTGCTACTGCTACTGCTACTGCTACTGCTACTGCTACTGCTACTGCTACTGCTACTGCTACTGCTACTACTACTACTACTACTACTACTACTGCTGCTACTGCTGCTACTACTGCTACTATTGCTACTATCGCTACTGCTAGTGCTACCACTACTACTGCTGCTGCTGCTACTACTACTACTACTACGACGACTACTACTACTACTACTACTACCACAGCTACTACTACTTCTTCTTCTACTATTACTACTACCACCATTTCTACCACTGCTACTACTGCTACTACTACTACTACTGCTACTACTACTACTACTACTGCTACTACCTACCACTACTAATTTCTACTACTACGATTAGGATAAACTGATAATGTAACAGCAATAATACTAATAATCGTAGCAATAAGAAGAATAATCATCCGTAGTAATAGTCATCACCGGAGTAGTACAGCAATACAATTACTGTATTGCCGGTGTTATTATCATAAAACCGTCTAGGGCCTACAGGGTCTAGTTTTTGGGGAAGTCCTACAAGAACCCGCACGCTTTCAACAAGCTAGCCCCGGCATGAGTGCATTCGCCAGGGCGCACCCCCCGAAGTCGTCACTGTGCAGCCTCTCCGATGCGGATAGTGTCCATGAGTCCACGGGGGCTTGGGTTGACGTTTGGGGCTTGAGGTTTGGGTATGTTTTGCGGTTTCGGGGCGGCGCGCACTGGAGGATATACATGTTTCAATTAAACGGCGCAGTGCCTTGTGCCATGCCGTATAGAGAGAGAGACCCTGCAAGTGAGTAAAGTGGGTAGTTGTCAAAATTATGGCCCCTTTTTGGGTACCCCGAATAATAGGTGCCGTATCACAATAGGGACCCAAAAGGGGACCATAATATTGACACCCACCCAGTAAATACTGCGGGCTCCTGCAGCGATAGACTTCAAGACCGTCTGGTGCTTGGTAAGGACTGGGGGAATGGATTGCAGAGGCTACTACTGGGGATTCTATGGGGAGTTGTCAAAATAGGGGTCCCTGTTTGGGTACCCTAAATAATAGGTGCCGTATTATAGTAGGGACTTAACAAGAGAACATGATTTTGACAACCACTCATATAAAGTAAAAGCCAGAAAGTTGGAATATGATTATCCTAAACCCTTTATTGGTAAGTTATAAGGTATCCTACCCTGAAACCATATTCCAACTTTCTGGAGTTCCCTTTAGGGACTACTTCAGGGATCCATGCCCCCATTCCCTACAAAGCACCAGACAGCAGAGCTCAAGGCCAGCCCCATGGCCGCCGAAGCTTAGGGGTTTAGGGGTTTAGAAGGGTTTACGGGTTAGGGGTTGAGGGGTTTATGGTTCAGGGGTTTAGGGTTTAGGGGTTTAGGGTTTAGGGGTTTAGGGTTTAGCGGTTTAGGGGTTTAGGACAAATTGAGGGCCTGGAAGCACAGATGCCCCGGGGTCCTAGCAATTAATCGCTTCAGAATGCAAGGAAGCCGAAACCCAGAGGCCAGAAACTTATCCATGTGCAGCTTCGGCATTCAGCAGCAAAGGCCTCCGTGAATACAGGGGCCGGAGCAGTTACTTCGTAGCATTTCGCATGTTGAACCACTGTGTGTTTAAAGGATATTTCGACACCCTACTCTAGTTATTAAGTCCCATATACTATGGGAAGTCTTAATGGAACCCTATATCTATAGTTATATCATAATGGGACCCTACTCTATTTGTTCAGGTCCGGAGTGGCCCCCAGGGGTAGATGTAGGCAGCTCAGGTTTCGATGGGCAACAGAAACCTTCAGACGGACGGAGGATGGGCGGAAAGTTCAGGGTTTATGGAAGAGGGTTCGGATTTGGCAAACTAAACGGGCCAGGTTGTATCGTGTAACAACGGGAGCAATACCCTGGTTCCGTCCTTGGGCTGCAAGTTGTAAGGCCGTAGTTTCCTGCAGTGCCTTGTAACACGTTTTCGAGCGCAGAGAGGCGCAATGGCATAGCTGGCAGTTCACAGTCTGGGCAGTAGTCGCAGGAGTAGTAGTAGTAGTAGTAGTAGCAGTAGCAGTAGCAGTAGCAGTAGCAGTAGCAGTAGCAGTAGCAGTAGCAGTAGCAGTAGCAGTAGCAGCAGTTACAACTAGTCGCAG